CGAGGCCCACAGAGCTGCCAAGCCCCCTTGGAAAGGGCAGCTCCATGCAGGCTTCCACCGAGGGTGTGCCCCACCCGGACGGCCTGGACTCTGACCCCAGAACACCAGGCCCGGCCCTAGCTTATCTGCACAATCCAGAGTCCACCGAAGTCAGTCCTGACCAGCCACGGGGCCCAGGGCTGCGGCCTGGACCCCCCAGAGGGCTTCCCTGTCCCAGCTCGGCCCAAGCAGCCCAGGAACCCACAGCTGACAGCAGCCAGAGTCCTGGGGGGCAGCAAGGGCTCAGCGGGCTCCTTAGTGCCCCGGTCTAAGGCCCGCCCTGTCCAGTCCACCCCGGGTCAGCCAGGACAGCAGACGGAGCTGCTCCAGGTCCTGCCCTGACCTCCCACAGCAGGGCTGGAGACCAGCACCGGCCGGGGGCAGCCCGTGCTGCTGGGGCACTGCCCAGGAAAGGTGGCAGGGAACGCAAGGCTCGGGGCCAGCAGCCAAGACTCCCCTGGACCCAAGTCCTGGCACCACTGGCCACTCAAACCACCAACAGGGCTCCGCTGCTCTCGGCACACGCGTATCATGGCAGGAGCCGGCAGACAGGCGAGGTGCTCACTGCACCCAACCTGTCCTTCCTGGGCCCATGTCAGGCCCCCTGCAGCCTCCTCCACTCACTCGCCCGTCACCCTCTTAGGAGAACACCACCAAGGACAGCAGTCACCACCTCCACCTGCCGTCTGCCTCTCGGCACCAGAGATGCGGGCACAGGCACGACCCTGCTGACCTTGGCGAGGTGAACCGCAGAGGTTCAGCTGAAGATCAGACATGCCCACCTAAGGGTCACGTACAGGGAAGCCAAAGGGCAACAGCACTGCCCGCTAACAAACCTGGGAAGAAGCGTGCCCTGCCCTGAACCTCTTGCCAGCACCAGAACACTCTCCGCGGCAGCTCTTCTCTTCTGGGTCCAGCTTTCTTTGTACTGCCAAGCACGTCACAGCCTGCGAAGGCTCCAGCCACCAGCTCCAGGCTGGGAGTCAGAGGGACGGGCCTGGGCTGCCTGCGGAGCTCACAGGATTGCACCGCACGACCCGCCCTGGGCAGGGCCTCCCTTCCTCGGCCTAGTCAGGGCAGCTCTGAGACACCCACCAATCCACCCTCTGGCGGGCCGGTCCCCTCTGCTTTCAGAGTCGCCTGGCTTCCCGGGGTGGGAGGAGAAGAGACGGGTGTATCTAAAACGACAGCAAAGACCACGTCCTGAGAGGCTCACGGGAGGTGGGGGGCGGCCTGGAAGGACGGGACAGACGGGAATGGGGGGATGTCATCGTGTGTCCTCTCGTGCACCACCTCAATCACGTATCGTGGAACAGGAAGTTTCAAAATTGTATTGTCAGGGAAACAGGAACATTCTCTGGATTTCAGTTTTTGGTTCACAAGTTCAACGATGTTTAACGTTGAATACTATTTTTAACAGGAAAAAAAGGACAAGACAAGCACTCTCCTTTTCTGGCGCTTCTATTATTTCTGTCTGCCAAGTGGCAGCAGGTGCAGCCCTCGCCTGGGCAACCTGGTGGCCTTGCCGGTGGCAAAGCAGGGGTCACAGGGCGGCAGCACTCACATCTCCCGCTCACCTCGAAGAGAGGCAGACGGGGAGTTGTGTGGTCCTGCACCCCCAGGAGGCCTCTGGGCACTTCCTCCCCATGAGTCTGGCCTCTCCACAGGCACCTTTTCAGGAAGGGCAAGGGTCCAGAAAGCTCCAGAACGCACGGCCTCTCCCACTGAAGGGGGCAGGAGGTGGGGGATGAAGCAAGGCAGAGAAGGTGCAGAGGTTCGACCTGCGCAGTGACTTTATCCAGAGGGTGACTTCTGCAGGAAAAGCAGAAGGGTGCAGGGAGGAATTCCCCGCGCTGCAAAGCGAGTTTCTTCTGAGGAGGAGCAGGAAGCTGCAAGGACTGTCTGCAGCTGGGCACAGCGTGACATTTTCAAACAGCAGCTATCGACCCGTTTTCTTCCCGATATCCTGAAGCCCTGTCCAGGCACCTCGTCCACCCTGGCTACCAGGGAGGCAGAGACCGCAGGGACCGCAGCTTCCCTCTGACCTCGGGAAGCGGAGGGAGGAGGCGGGTGTGGGACAGCAGAGCCATGAGGGTGTCAGTCAGGACGGGCGGCCGAGGTCGATGCGGACTCACTCCACACGACGCACGTCAGTCTGCCCTGGTGCCCAGATGAGTCCTCCAGGGAGGGAGGGCCACGCTGTTTCCCTCCTGCGCAGCAGTGCACGCAGGCCCCTCGGAGAGCACACAGAGGAACAGCCTGACACCCAGGGCCTGTGGCTCACGTTCGGGGCCCCACATGTCCCTCTGGGGGTCTCTGCACTGAGCTAGGAGGCCCCCCTGCCCTCCCACAGCCCTGTTCCCTGCAGGCCCCATCACAGCGGCACCAGCGCAGTGTGCACAGAGCCCGCGTGGACACCCCAGACACCTCCTGGGGCCATTCACCACGGGGTCTCCATTCAACTGCACGAGCCCCAGAGTGACAGGGTGTGGCCGAGCAGTGAGACGCTCATGCGAGGGTCCAAGGCAGCCAGTTCTTTCTCACACTCAGAAACAAGCTGAGGTCAGGCGCCCACTCCCAAGGACTCTGCGGCATGCTCCTTCCCCGCAGCCTTCAGAGTCCAAGTGCGCCAGAGCTGCCTGCGCCAGCAGCCGACTGACCACCTGGTCGGCTGGCGTGGACGGCGCTGGGCCTGCCCAGACACAGAAACAGCCCCTGCCCTCCACGCGCTCACGGCCAGCAGGGAGACAGGGCCGCGCCGCGTGTGAGTGCCGCGGGAACGTCCTGCAGGGGAGCCTGGGGTGGGCTGGAGGTGAAACGTCAGACCTTCTGGGCAACCTCAGCAGAGCAGGCTGTGGGGTCAAGTGGCTCTGCTCACTGCACCTCGAGGGGACAGCCAGGCGGCAGGGAAGCCTGCGTCCTCGCTGAGGGGTCAGGACAGATGTGGAAGAGCAACACAGTCACACTGCTTCAGGATGCTCCCGCCGTGCCAGGCGCTGGGTGGCAGGGTGCGGGGCAGGACCAGCGGACGGAGCAGCGGTGGGGGCTGCAGCTGCGCAGGACGACTGGGGAGCAGAGGCCCCTGGGCAGGCCGGGGCAGGGAGAGCCCTTCTCCTGGGCGGGGGCCCAGACTCTCAGCGTCTATGGAAGAAACCAATCGAACACACCCCCCACATCTCTGTCTTTTCACCTACAGTCGAGCGCAGTGGCAGCCCAGGATCGACGTGGATGTGACAGGTCACCAGCCTTCCCGAGCTTCTGTAGCTGTGTTTTCAAAGAGCCCAACTTGTTTCTGTTTAATTATATCATTTGCCTTCTCAGCACGCGTCCACGCCTGGTGCCCTGAGCAGAGGTGTCACGCCAAGGGCCAGAGGGCTGGACCAGGGGCTGCTCTGCCTGGAACGGCCATGTGGACGGATGCCCTCCTTCAGGGTCGTCACCAACGGCTCAGGCCCCTGAACAACATCTACAGTTTTCAAGGATTTACATAGGAGGTGGCAGAGTGAGGAAGCAGAAAGGTGGCGTGAGTCAGAGGCCTGGATGCTCAGCCACCCCGGCCCCTCCCCTGCCAGCAACTGCTGTCCCTCAGCCTTGGTTTCCTCATCTGCACAACTGACGCAGGATTAGAGGGGCCAGCCACTTCCTGCTCTCAGAGAACAGAGTCTGTGGAAGCCAAGGCAGTAAGTCCCTGTGAAGTCACTGAGCCTGGGCCCAGCAGGGTTTGAGCCTGGCTCCCTTGAGGACTCGAGGTCAGTGGCCTGTCTGCCAATCAAGCAACTCCAGAGAGTCTCAGATGCAGAAATGGAAGGGGAAGAAAGAGCGGTGCTCCGCCAAGAAGCAGAAGGACCTCAAAGGAAGTAAGACGTGCCCAACTCCAAGGCCAGGCTGAGCTGGCCTCCCCAGCCAGGCAGCAGAGTAGGAGCTCCCCATGTCTATCCGGGGCCAGGAAACACTATCTCTCTTACCCCTCTCCACATTTGAGAAAGTCACTCCGAACTGGAAGGATAGAATTACCCTCACCTCCTCCTCCCCCAGTCCCAGACTCTGAGAGCAAGCAGGCAATTACGGGGCATTCTCCACACCTAACTGTGACTCACAGTTCTGCAGCCCTCAGACCTGGGCAGGGGGAGCTCGGGGTCCCCAGAGGAGAAGCACACACCCGACTCAGCACCCAACTGAGTCCCGGTTTTCTCCACTGCCCTTTGAGTTGCAGGACCCCAAACGCCCAGGCCTGCCTCACAGGTTCTAGGCTTTCCGGTTGCTTTCTGGTCGCTTTCTGGTCCTGTTTCCTGCAGTTTGGTAATAAGCTCTAGGGCACTAAGGGGACCCTGAGAGCTAGCCCAGCCAGGGCCAACTGGCCACACAAGGGTTCACGGGTCAGGAACAGAAGGCCCCTTTTGCAGCCAGCAGGAAGAGCCGGTTGTCAGGGGCCACTTTCTGTAACTTCCTGAGTCGGTGCAAACGTCGGATGGCTGGCGCAGACGCGACTCTGGCTCCCTCGGCTCCAAGTGGCCGCCCCCAGGCAGTTCCCCAAGCGACGGGGGAGGGATGCCCACACCAAGCAACACATCCCCTGATGCAGCCGGGGGCCAGAGGCTTGGCCCAGAAAATAAGGGCACTCAAGGGCAGGCAGGGGATGAGGCCGCCTCCCGTGTCCGCAGCACTCCAGGGCTGGCCTCGAGTGACCCGCATGACGGCAGGTCCCTGCCGGCTTCCCGCCTTCTTCTGGGCCCCCTCCCTGAAGCAGCACCCGAGCCCAGCCTCAGCCTCCAAAGCCCTGGAGGCGCCAGCGGGCTGACCCCGGCTCCGAGGGCCCGGCCGTCCCTGCCTTCGGCCGGAAACCCGGGCGCGTCCGGCCACCGGAGGGCATGCGCCCCGCCGGGCCTGCCATCCCCCGCTGCCCTCTAGGCCCGAGCTTACCGCCCGGGCTCCCAGGCTGCGCACCGGCCGGCGCGACTCACCTCCGCAAACCGGCGGCGCCTCCTCAGTCCCCGTGGCCCGGGCAGCGCGGCCGCGGTCCCGGTCCCGGCCCCCGGGCCTGCTCGCCTCCGCCGGCCGACCCACAACTTCTGCCTCTGGAGAGCGGCGCAGCCACTCTCGCCGCTGGCCGTGCTGGCCGGACAGCCTCCCGCGCCTCGGCCACGGATCCGCCAAGCGCCCCGACCCGGCCCCGGCCCCGGCCAGCGACCGGCGCCCGCACTACGCCGCCTCCGTAGCGTAGCGCTCGGCCGGGGCCCCGCGGCTACGGCGCGCCCGGGGCGCACGCGGCGCTGTGAATCGCGCGCCCGGACTACGGCTCCCACAGGGCCGCGCGGCGCCCGGCGCGAGGCAGGCCGGGAGTGGGGGCGGTGCCCGGCGCGAGGCAGGCCGGGAGCGGGAGGCGGTGCCCGGCGCGAGGCAGGCCGGGAACTGTGGTCCTCGGGGGCACCCTCTCGGTCCCGCGCTCCCGCGCTGGGGGGACGGCCGGGCTCCGTCCCGGCCCCTCCGCGTCCTCGAGCCGCCGAGACTCCTTCACGCCCGGGCGCCTCCGGCCCTCTCCGCGCCGTCTCACACTTGGCTTCCTCAGTTTCCCCACCGTGACCCACCTGGGTGTCTCAGCACTTGCAGGATCACTCGAGCACAGCACTTTCTGAGCCTGTTTCCTCCTCGGCGACGGAGGGAGGCTGCCGGGGTCGCTGGGCCCGGCCGGCAGGAAGGAAGCCATTCCCGCTCCGGGAGCGGCCGACCTTCGGGTCGTTCTCAGGCGCTCAGGAAGGCGCCGCCGCCTGGGAAGCGGGGCCCGAGGCCATCGGGGGCAGATCAGGAGCCCGAGAAGGCGCTGGGCGCGCAGCAGAGGGAGACAGCGAAGCCGGCCAGCGAGATCCGGGAGAGACGGCGCTTGTGGGGAGAGGGAGCAGTCTCACAGGTGGGAAGTGGGGTGATGTTCACTCCAGGACCCAGAAACTCTGAGCCCATCTCAGCGAGACCTACAGGGCCAGGGCTAGTGCTCCCTGGAGGACGTTCACGCTCCAGGAGCCTGTGTCCCAACCCCGGGGCGGCTTCAGCTTTTAGCTGCAGTCAGGACAAGCTGGCTTCCTGAGGGTTCCAAGGTGTCAGGAGATTTGCTTCTGTCCTGGGAGGCCTTTGGTGAGGAGACTTCATTCCCCTGCCTTGGAACACGTCCCCCTAGGTCTGCTGCCCGCTCTGTGGAGACTGGCAGGGCAGCTGTAGCCAGGCGTGTCCGTGCATGGTCGGGACACTGAGGGCTGCAGAGCTGGCTCTCCCCTTTGTGACTTGGATGAGGCTCTCGGCCCCTGTCCTCCCAAGCTTCCTCGCCTACACGAAGGGTGACAAGCCAGGTGGGACTGCAGAAGCACAGTCCAGGGCTGCCTCCGATGGAGGGCTGTGTGACTGCAGGTTCCCTTCCCTCCCCAGTCGTTCCTGGGCACCGTTGCTGGGCACCGCTGGGGTGGTTGTAAATGTCAGGGCTGGTGTGGCTCCCTGGCCAGGGGCCACTGGTCCAGCCAGCAGAGGGCTCGTGGCCCTGTAACCTGACAACCAGAGAAACAGCTGAAGTTGAGCCTGTTGATCTGACAGCGGAGGCTCTTGCCAGCTCACTGCAGAGCCACCAAGGCCTGTCATGGAGGGGAGAGAGCCCACCCACCCAGAAGACAGCCTGGCCTCATGGTTGAGATTTCACCACCCAAGGAAGGAACTAAAGGGAATGGGAAAATGAGAGACGGGGTCTTTGCTGCCTCTGTGCAACGTGTGGTCACCTTAAAGACTATGTCACAAGACACCAGGCATCACCCAACCGGGCTGTGCTGCCCACTGCACAGAGAAGAGCCTACACTGGGGCAGTCAGGGTTGCAATGGAGAAAGGGTTTGATTCCGCATAGCGCTAAGCGGGTAGACGGGAGGAGACAGCAGGAGTTTCTCAAATGTGCCTCCCTGAGATGGGGTTTGGCGGCAAACGATTATAGCGGTGTAGAAATCATCTTCTTGTGTTCAGTCAGTTCCTGGGATGGGGGTGGGTCACAATTCTGGTCGAGCCAGTTTTCAGAAACCACCTTTAGGTTTGGAAAAGGTGATGTTATCTATGGAGAAAGTTAAGAATCTTCGTGACCACCAGCTGTGTGACACCAGAGTGACAATTAAAGAGAAGTAAACAGGGGACAGGGGCTGGCTATTATCATTACTTGTAGCTAGGTCTGTGCCTTCACCTTGCACCCCTTTGTGGATTTGTAAAGGGCAGTTTCACAGGTGTGAATTTTAAGACCACAGAGCAGAAGGTAAGTGACTTTGGTTTACTGTTTGTGCAGTCCCGGCCAAGGACACAACCTCACACTGAGACAGACCAAGTAGCTAACACAGGACAGCCCAGGCGTGATTCCACCTGGAGAAGAGGCTGGGAGGGCCAAGCAGAAACAGCTGAGCAGAGGTGGGAGGCGTCCATTCAGGCACCCTTGGGGACAGAGCAGTAAACAAAACAGACCCCACTGCCGCCATGGAGCGTAGACTGTCATGGAAAGAGCACACGGGGAGGTGGATGGGATGGGCACAGGTGCCATGGCCAGCAGGTGGGCCGGCTCATCTCTGACGAAGCTCAGACTGTCCCCGTGGTGCTGATTACCTGCCTGTGAGCCACACATCCCTGGGCCTGGGAGGAGGGCAGCCTACTTGTGGGTAAAACACTGTACACGGGCAAGGTTCCTGGTCAAAGCTGCTGCCTTTCTCTGGGCCTCCTCCTCCAGGTTTCTGGACTCCAGCAGGTAGAGGGGCCAGGGTGCCATCTGGGCAGCACCATAGGGTTTGGCCAGGCTCGGGGCCACATCCACATGTCAGCGGATCTTCTGGAGGGGGCAGAACTGTCAGGCAGAGCTGACCAAGACTCAAGATAGAGTGTCAGCAGCCAACCAGGACAGGACCTAGACAGGACCCAGCTGGGGGGTGCTGGCAGCCCCTTGGCCAGGCCACTGCAAGGTTAGGGGTGGAGGGCTCCTGAGGGTGCAGGCCTCCCCTGGGTAGGTGGGAGGGCAGGAGTTTGGCCTTGGACACACCCACCCCCCCAATCTTCTTTTCCATTCTACCCTATGGAGCGTCCAGGACTCCAGGTCTTGACGCTGTGGCCTTCTGCATACCCTCTCAAGGTTCGGCTTTCTGTCACTGGCCCGTGGGCCCCCCTGGGGCCGTGCGGGCTGGCAGGCCTGGGTCCTAAGACTCCCTGGGCCTCAGTTTCTCCATCTGCATGGTTTGCTCCGGCGATGCCTGGGCTGAGTGGTGAACTTTTCAAAGCATGTGTTATGGGGACTTCTCGCTAACAACCTGCCCTCCCCCATCAGATATGGTCACTTCCTCTTAGAACCTTCTTCCTGCAGTCCTTGTGACTACAGTGGCATCTGAACACCTGTGGGCTGCCCAGCCCTGCTCTCCAGCCCCCTGGAGCCCACTGCCATCCTGGGCCCTTCTCCTTGCCTTTGGTGGGGTGCTCCGTGTGGCCGCCTCTCGCGTCACTGCCCTTTTCACATGGATGTCCGTCCCCCCCGTGTCCGTCCCAGGGCAAGGACACTGTACCAATGACCTGTGTTGGACGCTTAGATCGCCCTGTGCTGCCCCTATGCCCAGCCACCTCAGTGTCCTGTCAGCAGCCCTCTTGGGCTGAGCTTGGGGACCGAATCCTGCTGTGACAGGGATGTGTGAGGGCTGCCAGAGAGAAAACAGCCCCTGGAGCCCTGGGCAGAGCTATGGGGCTTTAGGATCTAGACCCTGCCCAGCTCCCACACTGGCCCAGCCTGCAGGTGCAAGCCTGGGGCCCAGCCAGGGTGTTGGCCTGACCAAGCTGCAGAGCTGGTTTCCTGCGGTCTGAGCCCAGAGGACCGATGGCCCCAGGTGCCCTGGGGGAGGCCTGGCCAGGCCCAAGGAGCACCCCAAGCCCACCCCGCCCCGTGGCCGCCTTGGAGGAAGAAGCCAGCCTCTGCGTGTGCAGTAACAGCTTTACTCAGTGGTGGCCCCTCGCCCTTCCGCACTCAGGCAGGAAGAACCATTTCTCGGGACTGAAGCGGGCGCAGTGTGCGGTGGTGCCTGTGCGTTTCCCACACTGCTTCCTGGCAACTCACGTTTACAGTCAGCACTGCTGCGCGGCAGCTGCGCGGCAGCAGCACGGGAGCCCACGTCACCAGGGCCGGACCTGGGCACAGAGAGGCAGGGCTCCAGTATTTATATATTATACATATATATATATATATATATATATATATTTCATGTGTATACACAGATAGTTTTCTCTCTTGAAAGTATTAAAAAATTGATCAACCTTCATTCTATAAAAAATACCTACTCTACATGATAGAAAAATCTTTCCTTCAAGTTTACACTGATTTACACCCAACGCTTTCCCCAAAATGTACAATATGAGGCGACATCTTCAATCTTGGTGTGGAAAGGAGGCCGCAAGGACAGAGGGATGCAGGGCAGCACACGTGTGCACACGCGCACGCAATGGGGGCCTCCACCCACCTGGGAACGCCCGGGCAGGGCAGGCCCAGCGCCCCATGGCACGACTGCCCCTGGGTAGTCCGGGTGCTGGGAAGCGCCGGGCACAGGGCAGGAAGGCCTCCCACTCTGCCCAGAGTCCTTGGAGAGACCTCCCTGCCCCAGCCTCCTGTAGAATGCACCCTTGCGAAGAACAACGATTTGCAGAGGAAATGGGGTTCCAGACGTTCAGTTCTGGCCCAGGAAACGCGGACTTTACCCAGGGCAGCGACAATGTGTAGAGAGGGTGTGGGCTCCGGGAGGCCAGGTTAGGCCACACCTGTCGAGAAGCAGCACCTGCACCTGGGGGTTAGAGGGCGCCGGTGGCATCCACCTTGTCCAGGGAGAGTTCCACACGGTCAGAATCTCAAGTCCTGATTTCAGAGAGGAGGGTCCCAATGGCTCCTGCCCAGCCCCCACAGGGGCTACTGCAGCGAGGGCTGGACTGTGGTAGTGGCCGCAGGGCCTGGAGGATCCTGGACCCAAAGCTGGACTGCGGTGGCCCTGTCAGGTGGGGTGACAGCCTGAGCAGCTCAGAGAAAGCGGGTGGGGCCACAAGCCAACTACACCTTCCCATCCTTCCCACACCGCCACGCCCGGTGTGAGGGTCCAGGGGCCTGTACGCCATGCGGGAGTGGCCAGGCGTGGGCAGCACAGCGTCAGGGTGTGCGAGGCAAGCAGCACCCCCGGTGGGACCCGTCTTCTTCCTTCCTTTCTGATAGGGCTGGACAGCAGGAAGAGGAGCCCAGCCTGAGAAACTACCCGCATCTCTGCACAGAGAGGCTCTTGAGCCCATCACTGCTGAACAGAAGTGTGGACGTCCACATCAGGCTGACTCGGGGCTGGGAGGCTCTGGCCCCTGGGATGGTCAGTGCTGATGGAAGGCCCAACCAACCCTCACCCACTGTGGGCCCCAGCCCTGGGGGCTTCCCTTTCTCCCTCCCTTCTGCTCTTCCCTCTGCCCTTGCCCCTTCGGCAGCCCCAGTCTTCACTGGGCCCAGCCCAGCCGTGCAAGGGTTCCCTGCAAGCTCTGGGCTCAGTCGGCTGTGGGGCCTGTTGGTCTCAGCTCCTCAGGGTGTGTTGGGGCTACCCCAGGGTGCTGGTGAAGTCCTGAATCCAGCCTGGGCTGGGCCCTCCTGCCTCTACTTGACCTCCAGGATGGATGGGTTGGTCTCCATGATGGCCACGATGATCCTGTCGATGTAGTCCTGCAGGCGGAAGTTTATCTCTTCCTGCTTCTGGATTGCTTCCATGAGCTGTAGGGAGAACAAAGGGTCAGAACCCTGGTGCATGAGCCACAGCAAACAGGCCACGGACCACAATGCGCAGACCACAGCACACAGATCACACGCTACAGCACACAGACCATAGCAAACAGGCCACGGACCACAGTGCATAGAGCATAGCACATAGACCACACACTACAGTACACAGACCACAGCAAACAGGCCACAGAGCATAGCACATAGACCACATGCTACGGCCCGCAGACTACATGTCACAGCAAATAGACCACATGCTAGAACATGCAGGCCACAGCAAACAGACCACACGCTACAGCACACAGACATGCCACAGCGAACAGACCACAGGCGACAGCCTGCAGACAACAGTGTGCAGACTAGGGTGCATGACCTCATCCCGGGAGACGGAGCTGATCTCTGCGGCCAGGGACTCGGAGAAGGCGGTGGAGAAGAGGCTCTTGGCACCCTGGATGCTGAGGGTTATGATCTGTCCATTCAGCTCCTCGTTCTGCTCCTTAAGGCAGCGGTTGTCCTGGGGGGCACAACAGTGTCACTGCTGGGCCATGGCTCCTGCTGGTGGCTAAGCCAGGGCAGGACCTCCAGCGTGGACACTGGCCCTCCGTGTGCCCCCCTTCCCACCCAGCCTTCCGGAAGCTTCCATGGGGGTACGAGGGTGTGAGTGGCCCACACGTGCCACACCTGCTTCAGCCTGCGGACCTCCTGCTCCAGCTCGCTCTCCCTGGCGCGGCTGTGGTACTCCTGCAGGCCCATGCTGCTGCTGCGGCCCCGGCGCTGCTCCGCCTCCAGCTTGAAGAGCTGCAGGTGCTCCAGCTGCTTGCGGAGGTCCTCGATCAGCTGCAGGGCAACCGAGGGTGAGCACGGAGGGGCCACTGTCAGCCATCACATGGCTTTGGAACCTTGCTGGTCTGGCCACCATCTCTCGGGAGGACAGTGACACGTTTCCCAAAGCTGCCACGCACCAGCAGCTACGCCAGGAGCAACATGGCCGCGGGAACAAAGGGCTCCTCGCTGCTGCCCCCAGGGAGCAGGCTGCACCTGGCTGGGGTGAGAGCAGAGGAGCAGGCACAGGGAACTCACTCACCTCCTGGGTGGCCTCCTTGTCCCTCTGGAACTGATGCCTTTCCTGGCTTAGCCTGTCCCCCATCTTCCTCTTATTCGCCTGTTCCTCGCTGAGCCGAACTGTCAACTCTTCAATCTCATCCAGCAACTTCTGCTTCTCCTGCAAAGACAATACCCTGCATGGACACGCGTCACCTGCCCAACCCGTCTGTCCCCCAGGACGATCCGTCGGCTCCCTGATGTTGGTGTAGTGGCCCGGTGCTTAGAGTGCCGTGGGGCTGTCCTAGCCTTCCCACCAAGGCCACCCTGCCTCGTGGCTGAGGGGCACACCTCAGTGGTGGGGAGGCAGAAAAGACCCTTGCATGGACGGGACCTGACCCTGTGGCTGCAGGGTCCAGCCTGGCTCCTCTGGCTCAAGTGGTCTCAGAACATCCTCCAGTTTTGGAGATTTCCAGAAGACCCTTGGTGAGAAAGCAGGGGAGGGAGGCTTCTCAGTGAACCTTCTGGCACATGGGTGCCCCACGGTGCCCCCAGAGTCTGCCCCTCAGAGGACACCACTCCCTGGATTCAGACCCTCAGTCTAAGAGTGAACCTCGGGGCTCTGTGGATCCTAAAGCCAGGGGGGAACCGGAGGCCAGGCAAGGCCCAGTGTCTTCCAGCAAAGGGACAGTGACCTGAGCCCTGACCTGGCCTCGTTCCCTCACACACGGCACAGCTCCCTGGTCAGCAGCCGCACCCCACAGCGCACCTTGGCCACTGTGCTGACCCCCCGTCAGTGTGGAGAGCAGAGGGCCCAGTGCCCGTGGTCGCAGCGTGCTGGCAGCTCACCTCCTCCAGGCGCTCGATGCTGGCCTTCAGACAGGGCGTGCAGGACCGCAGCTCACTGTTCTCCTCATCCAACTGCTGCAGCCTGGACACAGAGCAGGGCTGGGGTCTGCTCCCCAGGAAACAGGCCTCCGCAGGGCCAAGCGGAACAGCGTCCCCAGGCAGCCTTGCTAGGCGCTGCCTCATGACCCACAGATGCCCCCCAGTGACCATGGCCAGTCTTTAGGTACCCCACCCCAGTCCACGAGGGCTTTTAAATACACTTTGGGTTTTGGGATAATTTTAAGCTTACAGAAAAGTTGCAGACACAGCAGAGAGTCTCCGGGGGCCTGCCCAGTTCTGTTGCCCCTAGTCCCGTCACTGAGGCACACCCAGGACACAGACACTGGGACATGCTGTTGATCAACAGCACACTCTGCGTTTCCCAGCAGTGCCCTTCCCACCCTATGCCCCCCGCCGCCCACAATGCACTCAGTCCTTGCGTCTCCTACGTCCCCTCTGGTCGCGACAGTCTCCCAGGCTTTCCTACTTTGTCACAACCCGACAGTTTGAGCAGCCCTGGTCATGCAGTTTGTAGAACTTTCCCCAAACCGTGTTTGTCTGCTATTTTCTTTTTGTTTGTTTTGTGTGGAGACAGAGTCTCATTCTGTCGCCCAGGCTGGAGTGCAGTGGCCTCATCACAGCTCTTGGGCTCAAGTGATCCTCCTGCCTCAGCCTCCCAAGTAGCTGGACTATAGGTGCCACCGCCATGCCTGGCTAGTTTTTCTATTTTTTGTAGAGACGGGATCTCCCTCTTGCTCAAGCTGGTCTCGAACTCCTGAGTTCAAATGATCCTCCCACCTCGGCCTCCCAAAGTGTTAGGATCACAGGTGTGAGGCGCCGCAGCTGGCCTGATGTTTTCTTGTGATTAGACAGGGGGAGGGGCCCTGCTGGCTGCACGTGAGGGCACCTGGCACCACACAACTCTCGTCTCCTGGCTGAGGTGTGTCTGTCGGGTGCCCTCTAACAAGTCACTGCTTTCCCACCCACTCTGTCCTCCGGACTCCTGTCACTGAGTCTTCTGCCCCATCGTTTATACCTCAGGTACAGATTTGTGTCACCACAGACTCAGGCACTTTTATACTCTGGGCAAGAGTCCAGGAGTCTCTTGACCAGCCTGTTGCTCAGATTGTCCCAGCTTTGGTCACTGGGAGCTTTCAGTAGGTCCCTGTGTCCCTTTGACCCTGCCCACCAGTGTGTACATGTGTTTTGCTCTAGTCTGAGCACCTCCTTGCTTTCTGGGACTGTAAGATACTCCAGGTGCAGCCCCAGCATTGGCCATTTCCCCAAGGAGCCTGGTTCCTTTCCGTAGTCCAGCTGTCCTCACCATCCTGTCACCCTGCCGTCCCTTCCAATTCACAGCATCTGGTGTGAGACGGCGACCTCCGGGCAGCACAGGGCTGGCAGAGGGAGGGCCTTTGGCTGCCCTGGACCCAGGAGGGGACTTTTCCTGCTTTGCAGAACCGACAGTGGCAGAGCATATCCACGCAACCCTTGCCCCGAGGACACCCCACTGGCCTCTGGTGGTCACCCCAGGAAGCAACAGGAGGCCAGCAGGGCCTAGAATGCAGTGGCACTGACTGGGTGCCTGAGGTGGGCAGGAGGCTTGCTCAGGAGAGGCAGTGACACCTGCCACGGCTGTGCCCCCATCTGACCCCACCCCGCAGCCCCAGTGGAAAGGTCCCAAAGGAGATGCCACCTGGGGCTGGCAGACAAGCAGCACACCTGCATTCTGCACCCACTCAACTGCACTGTGCCAAGGCCAGGAAACACACACTGTCCTGGCTGCCCCGGCTCCGTGTCCTAGGAGAGGGCACCATTGTGGCAGCAGGTAAGGCGGCCACCCTGTGCAGGTAACCCTGGCACAGCTCTCTGACTGTGGTCTCTTCCTGCCACCCACCTTTGAAAATGCCTAGGAGCTCTTCTCAGATAAGGTAAAAATGTATCACCCTACCTTTAAGAGCTGGAGAGGAACACAAGCTACAGAAGCCGAAATACTCTTATGAATATTTAAAGCCACTGAAATCGACAAGCGGTGCAGGCCCAGCTAAGCTGTGAGAAATAACTTCTCACCCTCATGACCCAGACGCACAGGAGTGCTGGGGAGTCAGAGATCACGCTAGGATGGGGCCCAGGCTCCTCTGCTAACAGACGTTCCCGTGACCTGCTGGCAGACACGTTTTAGAAACGTGAAGAACCACCCCTCGCAAGTGGGTCTGTGAGCGCACACTAGGCACCCACAGACAGAGCTGGGGGTCGCTCAGGCAGCACTTGGTGTAGCCTTCGTGCCTTTAGGATGTGTGTTATTGCAACAGTGTAGTCACTCCCCTCCTCGCCTTGAGTTTTCCCACTTTTTATGACTCATCTGAGGCTTATGCCTCCAGATGAGCATAAAGGTAATTTTGATAAGTTCCCTCGAAAAAAGCTTGCTATTTCGGTTGGGATACATCAGTAGGATGGACGCTTGGAGAAGCTGACACTCGCACAGGGTCAGGTCTTTGAACTCACATCTGTGGCCTTTAGGAGAGTTTTAAGGCTTTATCCACGTAGGTTTTCCAATTTTCCCAAAATTACGTTTATCCCTAGACTATGCACCCTTCTGGGGTGGGTGGGGCCGCTGCCCAGGAGGGTCACGCCCTACCTGGCCTGCAGGTTCTCGATCTCGATACTCTTCTCTCTCTCCATCTTACACAGGAGCTCCTTCTGCCTCCGGGTCTCTTCCAGGACCACCTCGCAGGCTCTCAGCTCCTGCTCCTTCAACTGCTCCTCCAGGGCGTTGGCTCTGGAAAGGCAAAGGGGAGGGGATGAGCCTGCTGCGAGGCCCTGGGGTGTGCAGTGGCTCCCGACTTCATCCTTTCTCCACCTGTGCCCAGGGAAGCTCCAGGACTTGAGGGCACTGTCTGCACTTCGGAGGAGGGACAGGGAGAGTGTCCCAGAGCCCTGGTCGGGGCAGTTCTGAAGCAGGGAACACGCCTCCCAAATGGTCTTGGGCCCCCACAATGAAGGTGCCCGGAGTGGCAGGGACAGTATCCCTGCACCCCCACCAAAGCCGACACCCACAGGCGCTGTCTGCTCCTGGTGGGGTGTGTGGACAGAAGCCCTGTCCAGAGGGCCCTAAGCCCGCCAGGTGCCCATCCCTGTGGCACTTGTCACTGACACTGGCTACACCTACAGCCACCAAACACAATGAGCAGCTTAGAGTCCAGACACATGGGGCTTTGGGGAAAAGCCAGAGAGCATCAGGGTCCAAGGTCCACAGTTCTTTCCAGAGAGTGAACATGTGATCCGACACGTGGAACATGGCAGCTGAACACCAAGGTACTGTAGTGTGCTGAGGGGCTAGTCTGGGCTTCAGCCGCAGCACAGCAGCTCACAACTTGTCTCCCAACAGCACACATGGGGCTCCCAGGTCCCGGCTGGGGCCACACCAGACCAAGGCCAGGTCTGGCTTGGCTGCTGGGCACATCTGGGCCCCAGAGGCTGCCATGGGGCCACAGCTGGAGGGAGTCCACTCTGCTCCCAGGCCCCTCCAGGTCACCTCACAGCAGTTAGTGAGACCAGGGGGAAAAGGGAACATTCCCAAGAGGACCCTGAAACCTTGGCCCCTTCCTAGACCATCAAAACCACCTACAGGAGACGGGAGTTGATTATCCCAGGAAAAAGGGCAACAGGCCCTGCTCACGGACATAGCAAAGCCCACACCTGCAAGCCCTGTCTGTGCACACGGAGCCTCTCATCCCCTCTTCAGTGCCTCACACCTAAGAGTGAACCGACGGCCAAAGCCACCAGACACACGGGAACGCTTCCAATGCTCAGTGGCCAGAGCAGACGTAAAAGCCCTCAGGGAGCACACCCTGTGAGAAACGGCAGGGAGAAGCCTGTAACTGACATTCTCTGAGAGCCAGGACAGCACATCCGTGAGTTAAAGCAGCATGTTGTAGAAGGATAATTATCAAAAAGTACCTCTCAGAAATTAAAAATATGGGAAGAACAATTTAAAAATCCAGTATAAGAGTTGAAGGAGAAAATTTAGGATATTATGTAGAAAAAGAACATAAAGACAAAGAGACTGAGAAAGCAAAAGAAACTGAGAGGAAAGGTCCAGAACTCCACCGTGTGCTCAGTAACAGCGGGACAGGAAGGGACTGCACAGAGCAGTATTCCAGAACCTTCCTGAGGCTGAAGGACACACTTTCCAGATTTTAGGGCTGGCAACCGGGTGCACAGCATGGAAAACAGTAGAAGATCGTCACCGAGTACCCAGGGTGGGACATACACGTTACACAGAGAACAGCAGGGACTGGCAGCAGCCTGGGGTGGAAGCTACTGGAGCAAGTCCTCAAATGCTCAGGGAATCCGACTTCGGACCTAGGATTTTACACCCAGCTAAACTGTAATTGGAGGCTGGGGTGGGGAGAATAAACATATTTTCAGACATGCGGGTCTCAAAGGACTTGGCCCCTATATACCCTTTTCCAGGTCCCTATCAGGGGATGGTCTCAGAAAATGAATATGCAAAAAAAAGAAAAAATGTGGGCTCCAGAAAATAAAGAACCAAACACAGCAGAAAGCATGCAGAATTCCTAGGGTGGTGGTGAATGGAAGAAAGCCGTGCAGCAGGGCTAGAGAGCAACTAGCTCAGAGTGGGGCAGTCGTTTAAAGACGGGAACACCAAGAAACAGCAGCACAAACACGTTGCTCAGGAGAACTGACTGGGGCTGAGCCTGGGGCTAAGGCCTGGCAGAGGGCTGACAGGAAGCAGGAGAGTAGATGTCACGCCACACCCACAAGGGTAACTAACACACACATCAGACTAGAGATTCTAGAACAGAATCTTGACCTTCAGCTCAAGAAGACAAGGAGGCAGTAGCAATGGTCTCTGGAGATGCAGCGTACACTTAACGCACCGCTGGAACCCAAGCCCCTTCATGGCCGTGGCTGGCACCTCCCGCCTGCTCTGCAGCAAGGGCTGGTGGCAAGCGCTGCCCTGGTAAGAGTCCCAGAGAGTGGGCAGCTGCCAAGCCCAGGGTCTCCACTCCACAAGAGAACCAGTTTTCCCTTTGTTAAAATGTGCAGGTTATGCCTACAGCAAGACGCATTCTATGTTTACAGGGCAGACACCTCCTGGAGCTGAAGGACAGGTTATGAACGTTAATTTGCAGGATGATAACGCCGAGGCAGGAGTCAAATGTCCTCTGTGGCAGGACTGCCTGGGTCACATTACGAGTGCCCTGATGCCAACACAAGTGCATGTGGGCCTGTGTCCAGCGCTGTGCAGAGCTCCCAGTCCAGCCACTCAGGTACAGGATGAGGAAGCTGAGGCACAGAAGGTCCGAGCCCCGGCCGGAGGCTGCAGAGGCGCCAGGAGGTAGTCCAGGCGGCCAGGCCAGGACAGAGGCTCAGAAGAAGACCCCTTCTGCAGATTCCACAAGTGCCTCCCAGGCCTCCCTGCTGCCTCTGCCCCCAGAAGGCTGTCTGTGCTCCCACAGTGCCCAACTCCCCTGGCACACCTGGAGAGCCGATTCCCCGGGCCAAGCTCATCCTAGTCCGCACCAGAAACGTCACTGCACACTGGTGCTGGTCTGAAAATTATACAGCGCTCTAAGAAAAGTCTGCAAATAGGACTGGCGAGAGCAGCCTCTCCTCTTCCTGCAAACACAACAGCTACACTGTTTCCTCCCCAGCACTCTTCCAGCAGTCTGGGGGGCCCATTCCCTCACTAATGTAGCAGTTTCCACTCGCTTCATTCTCTGCCGCTAAGAACTTCTACAACCCACATTCAAGGATAGTTTCAGCCCCTGCGTAGACACCATTAAAGTCCCTGCTCCTCCGGTGCACAGGCCTGGGGCTGCCCCTCGTACCCAGTGCCTCCACCTGCTGTCTCCGAGGCCCTGGGCAATCACCTGAGCTCCCTGAGCCTCGGTTTCCTCATCTGTGAAATGCAGACAGCAGCAGTACCTGCCTCCCCAGGAGACTGTAAGGACGGGAGAGATCACGTCACAGAGCAGACGCCCCATCCGGGGACAAGTGCCCACAGCTGGGAGTATTTCTTCAGGATGGGTCTGTGGGGTCTTGGGACACGGGGTTGCAACCTGGAGGACCCTGATGGTGACTGCTAACTGGCTGCAGGTGGCCCTCCACCCCATCCTGTGAGGACTCCCAGGGTCAACAGAGACCTGGCTGAGAAAGGCTCTGCTCTGGGCACAGCACACCCAGCAGTGTGACGAGGAGCATGACATCTCCTTGTGGCTCCACTCCACGCCTCCCCCACTGCTTGTCGGCTAAGCGTCAGGTCCCGATTCCCTGCTGCCAGCCCTCCTCTGTGCGGGTGCAGGTGCCAGCTGTTCCTGGGACGTGAGGCAGTGCTGTCTCCTGGCTTCTCCTCTGGGCCCCACGTGTGTCTAGGGCTCACAGACGTGGCCAGTGGAGAGCACTGAGTCAGCCTGCCTCAGCCAGCTGCCGCAAGTGCACAGCTAGGCAACCCCACCGCTCCCAGCACAGAGCAAATGTGCAGCTCAAGGTGAGAGCCACACTCTGCGCGGTGGCCACGACCTGCTCTGTGTGGTACAGAGAGTCAAACGGGGACGAGAGTGGCACAGTAATAGGAGTGCGCAGGCGGCACCAAACCACAGACCCCAGTTCCCGCCCCAGGCTCACCTGTGTACTATGTACGGGTTTCCCGCCCCAGGCTCACCTGTGCACCAGTTGCAGGTTCTCCTGCCGCAGACGGCTGTGCTGCTCACCGGTGGCCGCGGTGTCCTTCTCCAGCTCCAGCACTCGCCTTTCCAGGAAGACGACCTTGGCAACGAGACCACAGCTTGAGGTCAAGTGGAAGGCAGCGGAGGCTGTGCCCAGGGAGCCACCTGGTAGGCAGCACGGGGGACCCTCCGAGCACTGGCACAGAATCGGACCCACCCGGCTAAGCTGGGGCTGGCTCTAACTCATGTTTGGAGACTGTCCCATAAACCCACTGCAGTGCGGCTCCCCACGGAACGAGGGTTTGGGGAGCAATGTCGCCGACAGCTCCAGCACACACATCACTGGGAGTTCTGAGGCCTGGGGGCAGAAGAGGCCCTTTGGGCTGATGGTCACCTGGGGCAGCAAGGCCCAGGCCCCAGCCCACACACAGGTGGGGGCTCAGCTCTGTAGACCCGGCCAACGAAGGCGGCCATGTTCCCATGGCTATGAGGGACAGAAAGGCCCGGGACTCAGTCCTTCCCTCGGGGAGCTCACAACAGATGAGACAGACACCCACAAAGTGGGAGGAGGAGTGAAGGCAAGCAGAGGAAGGCAGAGTCTGAGATGAGAAATGTCATAGGGAAGGGGTTACAGCAGGAAGTTAGACAGGGCTGAAGGAGGAGGCAGGGGGTGCAGGGGCACAGGAGGAGGCGGGGGGGGTTGCTGCCACCTTCCCTTCATGGGGGTCAAGTGGTTCCTTGAGAAGCAGATCCTATCACAGAGGCTGCCCTGCCTCCAGGTGTAACCCACTCAAGCGAAGCTCAGGGAAGAGCCCATTCCTTATGTTGGTGGCTCTACCATCCCTGCAGGCCAAGATGCTCGTCTCCCACACCTGAAGGCTCAGATCCTGCCTGCAAGGGCCTGGTGAACTGAATCTCTGGGGTCCCCATGATGCTGCCAGCATCGACCTGCTCCTCCTGAACCAACTCAGGGAACAAAGGATCACACACGCTGAGGTGCCTCTCGCGGCCATTCACTGCCTCTTCGTGTTCGACACAAAGTGCTTTCTTATGCCATGGCCGCTACAGCCCTAGAGGAAACTTGCTACGGAATGTCAGGGCTGATGGGTGGTCTCATGAGCCCCATGGCCCCCCTGCCACCTCCTGCTGTGCTGTCCTAATAAGGTTCATCTGATGCTCCAAACTCGCCTCTCAGCTCACACGGCAGCACATCGGGCCAAGCTGCTCGGACAGTGGCTGTTCTCTCCATGCTGCTCCCTGCCCTCTGCGTGGGGCCCTCCAGCCGCCCGGGGCCTACCTTGTCAGCAATGTCCTCCTCTGGGCCCTCCACGAACTCGGTGGGAGGGTCCTCTAGGGCCTCCATGGTCAGGGCCCCTGACTGGTGCAGGTACCTATGGCAAAGAAATAGCAGCAGAGGAAAGGGAAAAAACCAAAGGACAAGCTCTTTAAACACGAGTGTTTCCAAGTCAATCTGAAAAGCAGACAACAGCATCGCACAGGTTCGGGCCCCCCCTGCTCTGGGGAGGTCACCTCCCGACCAAAGCACTAAACAAAGGGGTGTCCTGGGCCCGAAGCCTTTACCAAGGGGCTGGGAGCAGGCAGGTCCGACTGTGTGGTCCGAGTTCTCCTGGCGCTCTTTGGAGCCTGATGTGGAACACGACCTTGTTCCCCGCCAGCTAATGGGATGAGAGTACTTTGTACTCAGTGCAATAAAACACAATGTTGTTCTCCACCGCGATATGAAATGATCTCGTCTTCCACCACAGGCCCACGAAACATTCATTCAGGATCTTGACTTGAATGCACACGCATCACCTCTGCACACTGTCGATGCCTGATTTTCAAAGGTACTCTCGTGGCAGTGACAGCAAGGGACCTGAGGAAGGTGTGGATCCCAGAAGCCTCACTCAGGGTCACACTCAGAGCCTAGTCCACCCCCGCTGGAAAGCACACGGGCACCTATGTTCTCTGTGGCACCAGCTCCTGCCGCCGTGACAGGTACTGCCCAGCCCGTGGCTCAGAGGAGCCACGTGACCTTGCAGTCTTGCATAAGCCCCCGGGGGCCCCACACGCTGCAGCCTTAGGGCAGGAGCTGCTCGTCCACTGCTGGTGCCTCCTTAGCAGGTGCTCAGTAAACACATGTTCATAGTTACCACGAGTTTAAACTAACATCACTAGTTGTGGCAAATCTATATCCACCCTAATTTGCCTGCAGTACATAAAGCTCTCAGAGTATTTGTACAGAAGTGCCAACAGCAAGTGTGCATGTTGAGTTTCTTTTTCTTTTTTAAAGACAGAGTCTCACTCTTTCACCAGGGCTAGAGTGTAGTGGCGTGATCATAGCTCACAGCAACCTCAAACTCCTGGGGGATCAAGGGATCCTCCTGCCTCAGCCCCTGGGTAGCTGGGACTACAGGTTAGCACCATAGTGCCTGGCTTATTTTTCTATTTTTAGTAGAGATGGGGTCTTGCTCTTACTCAGGCTGGTCTCGAACTCCAGAGCTCAAGCGATCCTCCCGCCTCAGACTCTTGGAGCGTTAGGATTCCAGGTGTGAGCCACTGTGCCAGGCCCATGTTTAGTTTCTTATCACACCCTGGGAGCCTCAGGACCGAGCCAGGCTCCACGCCGGACAGCCTTATGCTCAGAGCTGTGTGACCCTGACAAAGCATGGACCCTCTCTGAGCCTTCCTCTCCTATGAAATGGGGATCTGCAGGCAATTATGAGGTTTAAACCGAGTCATGCATATAAACAGCTTTGCTAAGGACAAAACACAAGGTAAGAGTTCAATAAAATGCTAATAAAAATTACATTGAAAATTTCTGTATTTTCAAGTATATGAAATTCTATTTCCTTTTTAGTACCAACTGAGCTTGTACATTTGCTCTTTTTTTTCCTACAAATATTCTAAGGAGGTGGGAATATCTCCACCCCTGGGACTACATGTCCCATGAACGTGCACTCAGGACACACTGGTGCTGTCTGGGGCTCGGTCTGTGGCTCTCACCACATTCTCAAAAGGGTGCTGATGATGGGTGTGTTCTTGGCCAACTGCTGCTTTTTTTTTTCTTTCTTTTTTGTAACAGAGTCTTGCTCTGTCACTAGAACTAGAGTGCAGTGTCATCATCATAGCTCACTGCAACCTCAAACTCCTGGGCTCAAGCGATCCTCCTGTGTCAGCCTCTTGAGTAGCTGGAAACTACAGGCACCACCATCATGCCTGGCTAAGTTTTCTATTTTTTGTATAGACAGGGTCTTGCTCTTGCTCAGGCTGGTCTTGAACTCCTGACCTCAAGCAATTTTCCTGCCTCGGCCCTCAGAGTGCTAGGATTATAGACGTGAGCCACTGCCCGGCCCATTGCTGCTCTTAAACACCTGTGGCCTTGACTCCAAACATGATGCCACCCCCAGGGCAGGAAGCTGCCTACCCCAGGTCCCAGAGGCCACCCTGAGGAGGGCTGTGGCCTGGGGCCTATTGTCACTTCTGAGCCTTACTAGAGGCTCAGGCACTTCTAAGGGTGACCCAGGGATGGGAGGACGTGCCCACCCCTAAGCACCCAACATGCGGCCTAGCACGTGGCCACCCAGGAACGTCCTTAGAACGGTGAGCTGGGGGATGTTTACATAAACCCACCAGAAAGGGACAATTCTTCAGCCATCCACCCCACTTGGGAGACCCTGCCCCTAAGGAGAGGGAGCTGTGGAAATGCCTAATCCACCCAGAGGGAGGCAAGTAGAGTCCGGCAGGTGAACAAGGCACTAGGACCCCTGAGACCTGCCTCCCACCCCAGGGACAGGGCTGTGGGGCCCCTGGTGCTTCCTCCTGCCCTGGCTGGGGCCAGCTCTGCCAGAGCCATGGGCTCCCTGCACACGCAGCTGACCTGGGCGCGCCACTTCCATCTCACAGACAGGGAGAAACAACGCTTAGAGAGGTTGGGGATGTAGTCAGGTCACAGAAGCTGCAACTGGTGACTGCAAAACCCACCATCGCAGCAACAATGCACATGCAAAGGGCTGAAAACTATGAAAAGTGAATTATGACAGTTATTTCATGTTTCCTTAGAACTCTGGTGGCAGATTTAGGGCAAAATGGCAGCAGATTAAAATTAAGTTCTAGAGGGTGTTTCAAAGGAACAAGCAGATACAAAGCCCCAACAGCCAGCCCCAGGGTCTGTCCGCGCCCTAGGCGTGGGAGGCCGCAAGACGATGACTCAGCCAGGTTGTCACCTTCCTTTCCCAAGCTGTGGCCTGTCTGGGGTAAGAGACAGGCTGGAAGAGAGAAGGAAGGTGATGCTGAAACTGCACCTGAAGCGTCCTTGGGAATCTCTACCCTACTCCGCAGAGCTTGATGCTCTTCTAAAAGGGGTGAGCAAGAAAACCACCAGAGGACATGGTGCGATGACAGTCACCTCGGCTTCCTCTGGAGCCTGAGCCCTTGAGAGGGCGGGGGGAAACAGAAAACAAGGGGTTTCCATCCCCAAGGTCACAGAGCAGAAGAGGAGATGGCACCGGACACTGGGCAGCAGAGGACGAGGGACATGCAGACCAGAGAGCCAGAGCCCTCCGGAGAGCCCAGGAGAACTGGAACCTGAGCGCACAGAAGCCAAGACGAGGGTGGACGGAGGCTGTGCGAGGGACAGTCACCACCACACCTGGAGACCAGGGCGGGAGGCCCTGACACACGGGCCACAAACAAGAAAGGAAACCACAGTCTGGGAACCCAATGGTGGGCAGGCCGCAGCCCAGGAGCGCCAGCTGTCAGGCGGGACTCTGGCTGGAGAAGAGACCTGGGCCTGTCCCACCACACGCCCACCAGAGGCCAACCGCGGGCTGTGGGCACTCACTCCAACACAATGGTACCCCCAGACGCCCAAGGGGAAACCTCTGACAGGAAGCACGGGGCCCGGCAGGGAACCCCAGAGACAACCACAGGAGAAGGTTCAGAAACACACAGGGCTTCAGTGGTAGGCTGCTGTGAAAAAGAAAATTCAGTGATTTTTTTGAGACAGGGTCTCACTCTGTTGCCTGGGCTTGAGTATAGTGGTGTTGTCATAGCTCACTGCAAACTCACACTCCTGGGCTCATGCCCTCCTCCCGCCGCAGCCTCCCGAGTAGCTGGACTACAGGTGTGCGCCACCATGCCTGGCTAATTTTTAATTTTTTTTTTTTTTTTTAATTTTTGCCCAGGCTCATCTCGAACTCCAGGCCTCAACCTCCCACCTGGGCTCCCAAAGTGCTAGGATGACAGCATGAGCCACCACGCCCAGCCAAGAAAATAATTTAAAAGAATGTACAGGGAGGTGCAAAAGACGGAGCTGGGACCCTGCCCCAGAAAGTGAAGCAAGCAGCGCGAGGGTCCACCTGCGCCCCTGGCACCAGCCACGCCAAGAGTTCCAGAAAGAAGGAAGAGGAGGCGTAAAACTGTCAAAGACACAGGTCAAGAAAAGTTCCAGAATTAAGGGGCACCAGCTTCCAGATGGAAAAGACACGTTCTTCGTTTTGCCCAGCAAAATTAATGAAAAACAAGGATTGGAAACAAGATTTATCATAAAATTTCTGAACTTTAAGGACAAGGAAATCATTTTAAAAGCTTCCAGCAAGCTGAGTGTGGTGGCGCACGCCTGCAGTCCCAGCTACTGGGAGGCTGAGGCAGGAGGCTCACTCGAGCCCAGAAGTTCAGGGCTACGATGCCCTATGATCGTGCTCACGAACAGCCACTGCACTCCAGCGGGGCCACACAGTGACCCCCCACTCTCAAAAAAAAAACCATCCAGGGAGGGAAAAATAGTCACAAAGAAAACAAATCAGAAGGCATTAAACCTCTCAGTAGCAACTCCAGTACTAGGAGATAATGAATAATGCCTTCAAAATGTCTAAAGCAAAATTATTTATGATCTACAATTCTACACCAATCCAAAATGTAAAAGTAAAGTAACTACCAAAGTCTCAAAAAATTTATCCCCTGGGGTACCTTTTTTCTCCAGAAGCGCAGGAAGACGTGCTAGACAAAAAATGGAGGCGAAAAAAACCCAAGGAGGCAGACGGGTCAGGGAGCTGGAGGATTCAACCCCGGAAACAAAGCAGCTCAGCGGCTGTGAGGGAGACCACCCAGGATGACACCTGTGAAGCCTAATAGCACCCTGCGCAAAGAGGTGGAAAGGAATATTCCAGAACAAGCCAGAGAGGAATCTCGTGCCCTGCTGCAGTGAAGCCAGGACCATGACTCGAGATCAAGCCAGTGAAGGCGTGGAGGCCATCGCCAATTCTGGAGGCAGCACGGCTGGTCCCAAGAAGGGCACGCAGTGGGTGCAGCGCACAGCTCCTTGAAGGGCACGGGCCCTGGCGAGCCCTGGGTGCTGGTCTCAGTGACAACGGGCAGGGGGCAGGGGAAGGTGCACGGCCACCTTCCAGGCGGGAAGCCTGCAGAGTATTCACAGCTGCAAATGAAGAAATGGTCCTGAGGAATCAGAGTTAGGCCCAGCCCCTCGACTTCGACTCGCCTTGGGGATGAGCAGAGGACTGGGAGGGCACGGGCTTGGCGGGAGGCCCCAGAGCCTGGGCCCCTGCTGGGCCTCCACCTCACGCTAACCTACAGCAGACATTGGGGGGCCCGTCCAGACCTCACAGTGAACACACAACGGAGCAGGACAGACACCACAAGCTTTCAACACACACTTCCTGGTCCCAGGTCCAGGTCCAAATCCACAGCCCTGGGAATTCTGTTCACAGCCCATTCCCTCAAAATACTCAGTCCCAAACCATGAAAAGAAACTTTAAAAAGTTTTTTTAAAATGCCTTGGAAAGGAATATTTTCTAAAATGATCTCTTGAAAACTATGGTGAGTCATACATTTCAGAAGAACATTGTTCAATAAGTAATCGAGGATCTGCCTACCTTGCCACCTTCTTGCTGGAGAGCCGCTTTGCTGGACTGTGCAAAAACCAAAATAAACAGGAAAATCGTGTCAGAGAACAGAGAGGAACAGGAGGAGACAGGAAACTCAGGCTACAGAGATATGGGATGGGGTGGCTTTTCCATGCTCAGTCGTGCAGCACCCCCAGGCAGGCTCCGTGCACAGAAAGCCACTCAGCAGAACAGGCAAGGATACCGCACAACATTGGGGGCTCGGCCAAGGCCTCTGCAAGTCCCAAAGAAATTTCCAGGAGGCCATGCCAGACCTCAATTCAGAGGTCCACAGCACCTAGACCCAGCCAGCACCTAGACCTGCCAGGTGGCTGCACCAGGTCTGAGCCATGGGCTGACGCTACGTCCCAGATGCTTCTGAAGCAATGTTACCCCCCAAACTCTTGGCCAACGGATGCCCCCACGTGAAACAGGACACGGGCTCATCTGCAGCAGGAAAGTTTGTTGTTAGTTCCAACTTAGGCGCTGATACTTCACACTCTAAACATCCGCCTGGGCAGTGACTTGAGAAGCCGTTCCTGCTGCCATTTCAGGGCAGTAAATGTGGCTAATTACACACCGTCTGTCTGACTCAGCCATCTGCTATGGCAAAAAGGGCCAAACTTACCTTATCTCTCATTTCCAAATTCCGGTGTTTTATATTTTCCAATTTAACTGCTAAACCATTAGCCTCAGCTGGCAAGAAGACAAACTTATTCTCCCCAAGCACGAGAACCGTCGCTGCTCTTCAACTCACGGGAGCCAGACAGGCCACCTTCTTCCTCCACTTCCTTAACCCAGACACACCTATTATTTTCTTCCAAGGATCGGGCAGAAACCCTATCTGGGGAGAAACACACGCTGTGCCAGTCATCAGTGTGTTGCCTCTCAGCTCCAGCTCTTCCTTTTGGCTCGTTCTGTGGGAGTGCAGCCGGGCCCTCTGCGTGCATTTCCTCGATGGGGTTGGCTGTTCGTGGAGGGTGCTGGAGAGGGACCTGCCAGAAAGAGGGGTTTGCTCCTGGCTGCAGGGTGCTCCTCGACAGGATCCTGCAGCATGTGCCGCCTCCCCTCGGCTTCCCTGGCACCAGCTCTCGGGCAGTTCTGCGGTGCAGTGCCAGAGGGTGGTGTTCCAGCAAGCTCTAGAAGGTGAGCCCAGCCAGTCTTGACACGCAGCACCACGGTGATGTCTCTGCCACCCAGGGTGCCACAGCTGAGCCATCCCCTGCAGGCTGGGGGGCAGCCTGGGTGGGGAGTGGCTCTCTCTGGGGTGCTCCCCACAGCCCTCAGGGCGGGGCTGCTGCTATGTACTCCTCAGAGTTCTCTTCGCTCGTCCCAGGCGACCCTCGTTAGTCCAGTCCTGTGATCCTTTACCTTAAACTCTCTTGTTCAAATGACGGTGTGGCTCCTCTTCTGACTGGCCCTGACTAAAAACGTGTATTTTAATACAAATCTAATTTTATCTTAGTATCGCTGACACTCCCTAAAACTACTAGAACAGGACAGACTGGCTACTCAGTTCACCTATTGGCCTCTTGGGGACCAGACGGCAGTGACGAGGTCTGTACTGGACACAGAGTCTGGGCAAAGCAGACGTCTCAGTCTCTACACGTTTGCTCTGACAGAGGACCCAGGCTCCTGGAAACATGGCCGCCGTTGGTATGCTCTGCAGCCCACCAGGCAGACGTCACACCTGACATCACAGCTTCTGCGTATGGTCTGGAGGACTAAGTCACCTTTTACTACCCACCAAGAACAACCAAGTAAGTTTTTTTAGGCAATTCCATGGAAACCAGGAGGCAAGATTCAAATCTCCTTAACTGACTGTTTAGGGAGAAATTTTCTGAGAGCTGCGTGTGTGATTACACTGGATTTAATGGCACACGAACCCACCTTGGTGGTGTCTTTCTTAGGGAAAGAGGGGCCTGGGGCTGCACGTAGGGCCCCTGAACGTGCTCAGCCGCATCCTAGTCCCCTCTCTGCCCCACAGAGCCCAGCAGAGGCAACCATGGCCATCTTGGGGCAGGTTCTCAATGTGGGAAAAGATCACTTCTATGCCAACAGTCCTCAGAGAATGAGATGAGACATGTGTCTTTGTGTTTACTCTAAAATACAGGATGACAGACCTGTACTCAAGCCCACTTGGCCGAGGGCACGTCTGCATGGGAAGAACAAACAGCTCTTCACCAACTAGGTGGAGCCGCCTTTCCCAGGCACTGAACACCGCGCTGCACATACACAGGAGGTAAAACCGGTTTCCCCTAAAATAGATGCCAGCAGACCTTTGGGATACCAGATGCCAGACTGACTCACGTCTCCAGGAAGGCCCCTCAGAAAGCACTTCTGGCTTCTCGCCAACACTGCCAAGATGTCCTGGTGCAAATGCCAAGGCCCTGCCCATCCTCTGCACCTGACTGGGCATTTGCTGGTGGCCTTGTGTTTTGTAGTATTGCACGGGACGTGACATTAAACGTGCCAGCACTGGAACTACAGGCAGGTCCAACAGGCTGTCAGCAGTGAGGGTCTGCTGAACAGAATGAGCCAGCCTCGGCCGAAGCCCCAGGAGGTGGGGCAGATGTGCAGGCAGGCTCCCTGTGACAGGTAAGCAGCTTCCAAAAAGAACTCCAAATGTGCTGAGACCGTCAGGACGGTTCACCTTTCCGCTGCCTGTCATGAACCCTCCCACCAGGCCAAGCCCCTTCTTCCAGGAAGCCGCCCTGCAGCCCACAGCACTTCTGCCCAGCACGGCCTGACCCAGGCTGGACGGGGTCCAGGGATGCAGACGGGAGCTGAGGGCTTGTACGCCAACCGCACCGGGGCTGGAGGACACAGACAGAAAGGGGACTGCCGGGGCGGGAGGCAGCCGGCACACCACGCTGGATCCCAGGCACCCATTTTTTTTTTTGAGACAGAGTCTCACTCTTTTGCCCGGGCTAGACTGAGTGCTGTGGCGTCAGCCTAGCTCACAGCAACCTCAAACTCCTGGGCTCAAGCGATCCTTCTGCCTCAGCCTCCTGAGTAGCTGGGACTACAGGCATGCACCACCATGCCCGGCCAATTTTTTCTATATATTTTTAGTTGTCCGATTAATTTCTTTCTATTTTTAGTAGAGACGGGGTCTCGCTCTTGCTCAGGCTGGTTTCGAACTCCTGAGCTCAAACAATCCACCTGCCTCGGCCTCCCAGAGTGCTAGGGTTACAGGTGGGAGCCACCGCGCCCGGCCCCCAGGCACCCATTTTTAAAAACAAGATGGCAAAGCTACCTCATATAACAGCAGTTTTGGTCACTCAGTTACCAAAGGGGTTTCCTCTGGTAACTGAGTCTAAGGCAGCCCAACAAAAATGAGTTCCAGGAGGGGCTCACCTTGAACACACACAACCCTGATTTAAACTATTGTTCCTGAAAGCGTTTATAAATCAGCTTTTACTTATTTATTTATTTTGCTTTGCAAAGATTTTATTTTTTCTTAACCTGTGACTTTTTTTGTTAACAGTTTTTTTCTCACAAGCAAAAATTTTAATTTTTTTTCTTTTAATTTCAGCATATTACGGGGGTACAAATGTTTAGGTTATGTATATTGCCCTTGCCCCACCCGAGTCAGAGCTGCTACAAATCAATTTTTAAAGACCAAATCTTTAAATTATCCAATTCTGTCTCATATGACTCCATTAAAAAAATCTTTTAGTAAAATGCAGAAAGTATCCTCTTTCACCCAATGGCCAGTCCAGCATCTAAAGATCATTCCCGCCCCGAGACCAAACAGCTGGTTAGACCACTGCATGCACACGGGAGAGAAGGGTGGAGCGCTAGGCAGGGCTTGAGGCATGCAGGGGGCAGGCAGGGCCACAAGGAGAGTCCCTCCATCTGAGCACTCCCCTTCGGTCAGAAGTTGGGGCCGGGCTCGGAGGAAGCACACCCGTGGGCTCACTGCAGCCGTGTCTCAGGCCAGGCCAGCGGGGGGCTGTGGGGTACAGGAGTCTCCCCCCCACAGGCACAAAGAGCGAGCCAGGCACTAGTCAGTTACCTATTCATTTCAAGATCATTCAGGCGCGCAGAAAGATCCTCAAGGCGGTTGATTTGTTTGTGGCACTGGCTACAGTAAAACTCAAAAGCCTCATCAGTGAGGATGCTGTGCAGCTTTGCGGCCAGCGGGTCAGCGCTAGAGAGACGAGAGGCATCAGCTGAGGAGAGCAAGGGCCTGGCAGGTCACCTGCGACTCCTCTTGAGGGGTGAGGAGGACAGGACAGGACATGACAGGACAGGGGCTGAACAAAAACACGTGGGAAGAGAATTCGCCGTGGGATGTGCTGGCTCTTACTTTTGACTGCGGTGAGCCCGCAGCCCTCCAGCCACCTCTGGGAGCCTACAGCATACACCCACTAGCAGGAGCAGGTCCTGCACACATGCTCCTTCCTGGTCAGGTGCACAGAAGAAAAGAGGTGTGGCCGAGAGCCTCATTGTAAAACAGAAGGCCCTTCTTTAAGGTAAGTGACTGAGCATGCTGCTTTCTCCTTGGCCCAAAACACATCAATGCCTCAACGTGACAGCAAAGAATGTCCCCCGGTCGAGTTTCAGTTACTGCGCTGTGTTAATAACTGCTCTAAAAACCACCAGTATCAAAAACTGTGCATGGATGATGAGTCAACAGTAGTTTTGTGATTTTTAAGACCTGCATTAAAAACTCAGAATTTTAATTTCTGGTGATGCTAGCTAACCTCCTCGATCCCCAGCTTGACCCTGTGGGCTCCAGTGCGCTTGGCGGCTGTGACGTTCTGCTGCTGGGAGAGAACAGCCAATGGTGGCCTCGTCCCTGGGGCAGCAGGACCCACAGGCTGTTGGAAACCATTCGGAAATTCAATTTAAAGAAAGGTTAAAAGCGAAACATAAAATATAGCATAGAGTTACACTTTAGACAGAAAACAATGAGAACACTGGACAGAAACAGGGACAAACCAAACAAATTGGAAGAGATTACCAAGACAGGACAGAGACCAAGTTTGAGAGACCCAAGTCCTCAGTCATTCTGTGGATGTCACCCTAAACATACAGTCCAGAGAGGAAAGCTGCCAAACAAGGCGCTGCCTCTGCAGACTGCCTGCACCACCTTGCGCACCCAGCTCCCACGGACAATTGCCAGGAACCGGCACACTGGACCCCCGTCTGCCTGTGCAGCGGACGGGCAGCTTTGGGGCGGGCACGTGGAGCAGGAAGGGAAAGAGGATCTGCCAGGCAGATGGCCGGCTCGGCTCGGGGGATGGCCCCTCTGGCCACTGCCCTACACCAAGTCTGCTGGGCCTCCCAACTGGTGGGTAAAGGAAGAATCTTGGGGTTGCTGCGAGCGGATTCTGAACTCTACAGTGACTCCCACTCACAGCCTAAGAGCACGTGCAGCTGAGAAAGCACCAGCTCTGCAGGAGCGAGCACCTCCTCTTTAGACATCGCAGGTCAGTTCATTCAGACCAGAACTTGAGGACGGTTTGGGGACGTCAGGTAACTACAGGAAATGCATAGAAGACTCGCTGTGATCCTAAAGCCTCCCTCAGAAGTCTGCCATGGACCACATTGCGATTCATGACAACAGCTAGGAACCCAAAAGCTCAGCTGCCCAACACGGCTGTGTGTCACAGGTTCAGCTGGGGCCTCAGAGATTTGGAGTGATCTGGGAATATAACTAGATGAGAGGAACTTCAACCAATTTTTATCCAACTCTAAATTTTAAATTTTTGAATGTTGTGTATTTAATTACACTACATCAAATAAAGCAAGTCCTCTCTTAAAAGTTTATGAACCAAAAGGGAAACATCCTCGTTAACTAAACGTGGGCAGGCGAGGGAGGAGCGTACAGAGTGTGGCCACCTCACCTGGGGGTGAGGAAGGCAGGGTCGCTGCAGCCGAGCTGCCCGCCGCATGGTGTCTCCAGAGACAGCTCTGTCTCGCTGCCCTCACCGTAGTCCTCAAAATGCTCCTCCCCACCAATGACTGTGACAACAGAGTGGCCACGTAGGTGGGACCTGCCAAGGAAAAACAGAGATGACACATTGTGGTTAAGGTATGGAGTGGTGCTTCCCAGCAAGAATGTGCTACAAGCCACACACGAGCTCGTATGTCATAGGAGCCACGTTAAAAAAAAAAAAAACAGGTGAAATTGATTTTTTTAAGAGACAGTCTGGCTGTGTTGCCCAGCTGGTCTCGAACGCCTGGGTTTAAGCCTTCAGCCTCCAGAGTAGCCGGCACTATTGGCATGAGCAAACACGCCGGCTGTGAAATTGATTTTAGCAAAGTATTTTACTTAGCCCAATATACTCAAAATATCATTTCAAACACGTGAGACTTTTCACATCGGCTATTTTGCAGTGAGTGTGTGCTGCACACCTGCACGTCTCTGTCTGCACGGGCCTTTCTTCAAGTGCTGACGCCGGACAGCACAGGAGTCCACACAGACCAGCTATAGGCCCAGCCCCTCTGACTCTGCTTTAGGGAGCTGCTGTCCTCGCACAGCCCTGACCAATGGAGTTCAGACATCTGCATTAACGTGACACTTGGAATAGCAGATCCCAACTACGAAAGGGAAGGGGTTTCCCAGCACCCGTCCTTCCCGACAGGAGAGCGACTCCTCCACACCCGCTTTCTGGGACACAGAGCTCCAAGGCCAGGCACTCAGGCAGAGGCGCCTGGGACGCTGAGCTGGGCCTGGCCAGCTCTGTGACTCCCAGGGGCCACGGAGAGCAGCAGCTGTGCCCTCCAAGCTCCTATGCATTCCTGGTCCTCGTGGGAACCTGCTCCTCAGGAAGGGAAGGGCCTCGCAGAATGAGGTGGCTCCCCTCGTCTGGGGGAGGTCGGCAGTTGGGATGGCCACGGCTAAGAAGTTCCACCTTCACACCCACTAAATATGCACGTCACTGACCAGTCCTGAGGCAACTTAAGGACGAATCACAAGGTCTTAAACACATGTGCTTTCAGTGAAAATGACAGCATTGTGTGCTACTGACTTGGTATAGTCTGAAACAAGCTGGCTGTCAGCTGTTTGCAATCAGCCCCCGTCCCTCACGCAGGGACAGGAAGAATTAATGCCTTCTGACAGTCACCATGTTAAATCAGGCTGTTTTACAAGAAGTCCTGTTTCTCAGGGTTAGGCACTTATTTTACCAACACACTCAGGCCCTGTGACAGAAAACTGCCCTCAGAGGGGAAGAGAATCCTGAGAGGAAAACACTCGTGGCTCCAGCAGGCCAGGAACCCCCCCTGCTCCCCCGTGGTGGGGCCACGCTGGGGACAGACCTGGTCCCCCTCGAGCAGACGATGAGGGACTCGGCGCCCTCCCTTCCCCTCCCCTCCCCACGGGGCAGTTTTTCCTACGTCTGACGGAACCGACGAGGGCCACATGCATTGTGTCTGGAGACCGAGGCCCAGACCGCACAGCTGCAGCTCCGCAAACCCGAAGTTCCTCACACGGACACACTTCCCACACCAAGTCCACAGAAATGGGGTGACATCTACTGATAATCGAATCCTGCCCACTAATAAGCTTTTCAAATTATCTGCCCCCTAAAAGATTTACACTTCTTAAAAACTAGTGAGAAAACAGAAAATATTTCTCACATAATGTCTGTGCAGCTTTATGCTCAAAACCAAAAACAGTAACTACCCAAGTGCCCATCAACAATAGAATAAATTTTAAAGTTTCGGCATATTCATACAACAGAATACTCTAATAATAATAAACAGTGAATGATTTACAACTATGTGCAACAGGGAAGAATCTCATACCCTCAATATTAAGTGAGAGAATCTAAAAAGACACACTCCACGGAAGATGCAAAGCCAGGGAGAGAGCTGTCAGAACAGAAAGGACACACTGTGTGCTCCATCCACGGAAGATGCAGAGCCAGGGAGAGAGAGAGCTGTCAGAACGGAAAGGACACACTGTGTACTCCATCCACGGAAGACACAGAGCCAGGGAAAGAGAGAGCTGTCAGAACAGAAAGGACACACTGTGTGCTCCATCCACAGAAGACGTAGAGCCAGGGAGAGAGAGCGCCTGGCTGCCTGGGAGGAGGGAGGAGGGAGGAGGGGCGCTCTGGTGCCCCTGTGTTTTTCTCTTGGCCTGAGAACCTTTCTCTTGGAGAACGGGAGTGGTCAGTCTGAAAAATCAGCTGGCCGTGCACTTATGGCATGCTCACCTACTTGTAGGTATATTACAGTTATTGAAGAGTAAAAAGCCAAAAACTGGGAGGGCAAACCAAAAACGAAATGAAATAAAATAAGCAAAACAAAATAAAAACCACTTCCAAGCCTGGTAAACATGGTAACTTCCCAAGTAGTTCAGGGTAAAACCAAAAGCTCTTGTTTGGGTCCCTATGGGCTACCAGGCACCTCCCTGATCCTACCTCCTGCCTCGATGCTCCCCCCTTCCCTCCCCTTTAACCCTAATTAGCTCCCAAAGACATCCTGAGGGCAGCGGAGGGGACAGGACAGAGGGGAATGTGGTCTGGCCCAGGGTGCCGCAAGGATGAACAGGGTCAAGATGGTGCCAGAAGACAGTCACTGAACATGCTGCCGCCTCGCTCTGGTTTTGGGAACTGTGCTGACAAAATCCAAACGCCTGAGTTAAAGTTTTCTGGCTACAATTTCTATCTCTACAGCCTAAGAAGTACGCGACACTTATAACCACAGTCACTTGCTGTGGCAGGAGGAGTTCTCCTGACAGGGAAGTGAGGGGGACAGGGAGGCTGCTCAGGGCAGGCGGGTGGGCTCTTCCAAGGAAGGTCATGAGCAGGGCCCAAGCCCCACCCACATCCCGTCCCCTACCCAGCCACGAAGTGGATTCTAAACGAATCTGACAGCCACTCCTCCAAGAACCAAAGGGCCCACCAGACAGGTCCACATGGTGCGCACTTGCCCAGAGGCGGTCTCCAGGCAAGCGGCAGGGGTACAGACCTGCCTGGGAGCAGCAGCAGAGCACCGTGGTCGGGCTCCTCCATGGCGTCCAGGCACTCAGAGGGCACGGCCGAGCCACCCGCACTGTCCACGTCCCCTTCGGGCTGCAGCTCAGGGTGCACCAGGGTGCTTGTGTCCTCGTCAGTGAAGGTCTCACACTCGCTGTATGTGCTCTCGGAGCCCATGTACGCACTGTCTGTCACCTCGTTGGCCTAGGAGAGAGCATGCCGATGGTCAGTCTGGGCACACGCTGGGACGGGAACCAGGACACTGCTGCACGTCACGCAGCCGACAGAGGGCTCAACAGCATGGGAAGTCCCGATTACTTCTGAGCAGAAACGTTAGCTTAGAAAAAAAATTCTGTATTTTTTAAAAATGAAAAATAGGCACATGTCCGAGAGTAAGAAAAAATTACTTGGAGTAATTGTCAAAGTTGGTTAAAAAATATACCTAAAACAGATACAAAGCATCCCAACATCATTTGATGAATCCAGCAGAACTACTATCTGTGGCTTCCAACACTGGAATTATTAATATCCAAGGAATTAACATTCAATAGTGTGAGAATGTGCCTTTTCAAATTAAAAAGTCACAATCAACAGCTGTTATATGTGTTCAGGCTATACTGCTTTGAAATTCAAATTGAAGGTCTCACCTCGAAATACTCATTAATCAATTATTTAACCAATCAATTTTACTGACTGGTTAAACGTCAGCCTTCCCAGACACATCTTTGTTTTCACTCCCATGCACTTAGCAACTAGCACAGGGCCCAGCGTATGGCAGATAGGAAATATACGTGTAGACTGCAAAAATGAACAAAAAACTGAAGAACCATTAAACGGGACATTTTCAATTTATGATCTCAACTTTAATTAAAATGAAATTGCAGGTTAGAAAAATTGGCCAATGTTTCAGGCTCAGAAGATTCTGAGGTTAACAATTTGCAAACAAATCAGATCTCCAAAAAGTTGCAGTTCCAGCAGGAAGGCGACGCCCTTTGTACTCTGGTCTGGCGTCACATGCAGTGAGGAGAGTGCGCTCAGACTGGTGCTCAGACCGCGAGGGCTGGCAGAGGGCCTCGCCCCAAGCAGCACCCACCGGCCTCATCTGCAAAGACTCGAAGGGCCTGGTCTGAGCTGGCAGGAGCCTGGCGTGGCCGATGAGAGGCCAGTTTCACGCTTGGTCCACTTACTAAAAGCTGTGTGACTTTAGGTGGAGTCCTGTTGCCTGTTTGTCAAACAGGGGCTATAAATACTGATCTCACAAGGTAGCAGCCTTATGGAATCAAGAGAGACAACACAGTCAGGTACTTTCAAAGTAGGTAAGTAAGATCGCAGGGTACATGTGGGTGGAAAATCCCTGCCAGCTGTGTGTAAAGCTAGGATAAAATAGGGAAAAGCATGCAAGGTGTTCAATTAAGTCACTCTATTTCCAAGGAAAAACCCAATTCCCTAGAATTTAAGGAAGTAATTCAAGAAAACTAATTCATAAAAGGCATTCACTTAAAAATCTGAAACCAGGAAATCACTTTAAGAAACACTAGCTCAGCCAGGTCCAGTGGCTCATGCCTGGGAGGCTGAAGCAGGAGGATGGCTTGAGCCCGGGAGGTGGAGGCTACGGTGAGCTGGTGATCGTGCCACTGCACTCCAGCATGGTTGACAGAGCAAGACCGGGGGTGTGGGGACATCAGCTCAGTTTTATTCATTGTTACTGAGCCACTCTCTCTCCAGGACCCACCACCCAGCGCAGGGCTGGCTCTCAGCTGGCCGGTGGGAACCAGTCGGCACGCACTGGCATGGCCAGAGCCACAGGCCGGGATATGCCGGAGGAAAGGCACAGCATGGCAGGACCCAGACCCAAAGCAAACCCCTGCCAGGCAGAACACACAGGCACAGGGGACGTGTCGCCTCTGTCTCCAGCTAAAGATTCACTGAGCACCAGGAAGATCCCACAGACTTCTAGGAAGTGTGACTATTAACAACAGCAGCAAAGACCAGGTCCACAATCTGGCACGTAGCCAAAGATGTCCAGAAGAACACTGCTCCTGGCTGCGAGGGCAGTCCCACGAGACCCCCCAGCCCTCACCAGGCAGGCCCAAGGCCACCCAGATGTCACCAGGGTCTGCTCCTCCCGTCCCTCAGAGACATTTCCTGTGTGTAGCAGAACGTGACTCGAGGTCAGCTTTTAAAACAGCCAAAGAGTTGGTACTTCTAACAGATGCCCAGCGCTCTTCTCTGGCCAGCGTAGATCCTGTGTCCCCAACCAGCAGCTCAGACGTTTGTGAGACCTGTGTACTAAAACAAAATCTTAAGCCCCTACCAGCCAACCAAATGGACCTCCTCCTGGCCAAGGAGATCCCCCCAAAAAACAAACAAAAACCCTTAAAGCTGAGTTGCCGGCCGTGAGCAGAAGGGAGGTCGGACATGCCTAGTTGTGCCCTGTCGCTTTCTGAGTTATTCTTTGTAACAAAAAGATGCAAAACCATTAACAAGCCCAAGGCCATGTAAGAAAAAGGTCATCAATTCACTTAACAGATCATTTGAGTCTGGGTATATGGCTGGTGGCCTGTCTCTGATTAACTGACATCCTTATCTTAAAATGTTCCAAGCCTTTACACAAAGCTTCATTTCTTTAACCAATTACCAATCAAAGACTCTTTAAACCCACAAAGAACCTGCAATCTCCCACTTCAAGATGTCCTGACTTTCAGGCCCAAAACAACACATGCCTTTCACGTGTCCACTACAACCTCACGTGCAACTCCTGTCTCCCTGAGATGTATAAACTGTAACCCAGCCAAGGCTCCTCGGGCATGGTGCTGTGGGCCATAGTTGCATATATTCGGCTCAGAATGAACCTCTTTAAATTATTTTACAGAGTTTGGGCTCTTTTCCATCGACAGAACAAACTTACACTTGCTTTCTCTCAAACATAGGTCTCAGGACGGGGACAAGGACCAGGCAATGGAGCCTGCAGCCGAGGACGGCCCTGTGGGCGGAGGCTGGGAGCTGCAGCCTGACCCCTCCGTGGAGCTTAGACAGGGTGGTCCACGTTGGAAATAATTCTCCACTTACACAGGAACAACTAGGAGAAGGCTACGTAAACTCGGACTCCCGTAAGTCAGAGGCTGGGGCACCCGCCAGGCCCTGCAGTCACACACTCCCCCACCTTCACGCCTCATTTCCAAAGTAAGCCCGGCTCCTCCCTGCTGTGTGGGGTGACTGGAGTCCATCGCATTAACAGAGCACACAGAGACCACAGCTGCGCACCCCTCATGCCTTCATGTTTGCACTCGCCCTATTTGCTCCAACTCAACCAGCGGGGCCGTGGAGGTCCCACCCCACACCACTGCAGTAAACACTCGGAGATACCTGCTGGGCCGGGTGGTAACGGCCACTGGAGGCCCCCCGGGGAGAGGCACATGGTGCTCCGAGAGCGGGCTGGGGAGCTGCCCCACTGCCCAGCCCCTGTCTCAGCCATGCCCTCCTGAGCTGGTTCACAGCTCGGCTGCTACTGGCCAAGGCCGAGCTGTGTAAGTTGTCGGTGAGCCGGGTGGTTTTCCAGCGCAGTGAGGTAAACCGCCTGCCTTTCGAGAGAGACAAACAATCATCTTAGAGCACAGTGCGAGTTCGCTCACAGGCTACTGGATAAGCAGCCACTGCGCTGACAGCAGCTCACAGACTCACCCCACCAGTTCATGCTTGCCAGCCACACCGGACATAGCTTTGCCCAGAAGCCAACTCTTAAAATTTTTACAAATTACAAATGTCAAGATGAACTCACTTGAAAATCAAAGTGCATCTTAGAAACCTCTTGCTACATATTAACATTACATTCACTAGTTAACAAGTGCTCTAAGTTGCCAACAAACAGAGAACAAAGCCATGTTCGGAGCCATCATCAGTAACTCAAGTGTGGCCAACGCCAGCTGGGTCATGGTTCTTCCTCCCTGACCCTTTCGTCTCCACAAAACAGAGAACGGTGGGCCCAGTGCAGGCCTGTGTCTCTTCTTACCCTCAACGCCAGGCGGGGGCGGCCGGCACGCGGGCTCCCAGGGCGTGCTACCTGCTGGAGACGGCCTCCCCTGGCAACTCCGTCGGGACCGAGTCACTGGCTTTTCTCAAAGAACAACGACACCTCCTTCCTATTTGCTGGTCCCGCTGGGATTTCTGCAAAGACTCTGTGCTCACCTGAGGCCCATCACCACCCAGGAGAAAGTTTAACTGCTCCCCGACACACTCTGTTAAACCTCCGCTGGTGCTGGCCAGGGAGGGGAGGCAAAGTTCAGGAAGTGTCCTTGCTGGTTCTAACAAATAGTTAGTCAGGGCTCAAAACAGAGAGGCTTTTGTTTCTGACTTTCTGATAACAGTCTGTACAAAAGACATATTTCCCCATCATTTCACTAAGGCAGCTCTTTTCTCCAGACACCACGGGTAGTGGGAGAAGAAGGAAGGGAGAGAGAAAGCACAGCAGGACTCCGTGGGACACACTTCACCTTTATTTGCACCTGTTCTCTCTGTGACTACCCATGGCCCTTCCCGAAACCCCAATAAATGCCCACCTACCACCCTGCAAGCTGCTCCGCAGCCCCCTGCCTAGGTTTTTAGACAGGAGCCTGCTTCTCATCACCGTGCCCACAAACTCAGTGGCAAACCTCATCCCCTCTGCGGCGCTTCCCCTTCTCACTCAGAGATCCCTCCCGTTCCCACCTGCAGGCCAGGAGGACCACAGGGAAAACGTCGGGAAACCCACTAAAACGTCCTTGGCAGGACACTGTAGCTCATCAGTAAGTGGCAGCACATGTTACACGCAGCCAGCACGGTGCTTGAGCACTATAGTGTCACCAGTCTAAAAAAAAAATGGGTTCTGGGCTCACGCCTGTAATCCCAGCACTCTGGGAGGCCAAGGCAGGAGGATCACTTGAGCTCAGGAGTTCGAGACCAGCCTGGGCAAAAGTGAAACTCCATCTCTACCAAAAATAGAAAAAATTAGCTGGGCGTGGTGGCCACGCCTCTAGTCCCAACCACTTGGGAGCCAAGGCAGGAGGATCGCTTGAGCCCAGGAGTTGGAGGCTGCAGTGAGCTAGGCTGACACCGCTATACTCCAGCCTGGGTGACAGAGCGAAACTCTCTCTCAGGGGGGAAAAAAGGGGTTCTGACTAGAACCCATCCCATCAGAAAACCAATGAAAGGTTTACTCACCTCTGAAGGTCCCCAGTGGAGAGCCTCCACACGTCGTATCTGGATGGAACACATACATTCTCCAGTCCTATTTTTATCAGACATTTTAGGATTATATGATGTAAACGTATTTTTTAAAAGAGGAATCTTTCTATAAGTTTCACAGTGTCTAGTTTCACTCTCCTGAAAATTACACCCAAACCTCAAAAAGCAAGACATGGAAGGGTGTTAAACGCATGTTACTGAGAAGCTGATCTGTAAAGGCTGCACACTGGACGCCCCAACTCTATGCCGTTCTGGAACAGGCAGAGCTGCGGAGACAGCAGGAAGATCAGTGGTTGCCAGGGGCTGGGCTAGGGGACTGACTCTGTGGGGCCCCAGATTTTTAGGACAGTGAAACTCCTACGTGATAGTCTAATGGTGGAGCTAAGCCACCGTACATTTGTGAAAACCACAGAATGTTCAACACCAAGAGCAAGCCATGGACTTCAGTTATCAACAAAGTATCGACATTTTATTTGTAAACAACCCATCGCACCAACAGGACTCAAGACGTTCACCACAGAGGAAGCTGTACAGGGTGCCCAGGAACACCCTGTACTATCTGTTCCGTTTTCTGTCAGCCGAAAACCACTCTAAAATATGAACCTTATTAATTCTTTTTAAGTAGCAAAAACTTAAAAAGAAATGTTTCTTTCATTCTAAGAAAGAAATCAGGATCTAAAAATCTACGAAGCAATCATTCTTTGAAACGTTGGGGTCCCGCCACCTCTGGACAGTAACAAGTGTGAGGCTTGAGCCCCACAGGCCGCAGGCAGGGTGGGCCGTGAGGGGTCTGCCTGCCTGGGGCAGGATCTGCTACACTGTCCAGGCCTCGGGAGGCAGCCCCAACCTCGGAGCTGGGCTCTCACCCTTCCAGACCAAGCAAGTTCTCGGCAGGGCTGGGTCCTTTCTGCGGCTTTCAGGGAGGTCACGGCCTCACCTCTACAGCTCCTGTGAGCCCCAGAGCCCCTGGCTGTGGCCATCCATCCTCATATCGCCTCCCCTCGTGCCTCTTCCCCTTTTCCAGGGATGCCTGTCACTGGATTTAGGGCCCACCTCGATCCAGCACGATCTCATCTGAGATCCTTAACAAATTACATCTGCAAAGACCTTTTTCCAAATAAGGTCATGTTCACAGGTTCCGAGGGGACATGTCTTTTGCGGGGCCACCCCTCAGTCCGCTGTACCTACCCACGCGTAGACCATAAAAAATCAACGTACTGCCCTGGTAGAAATATGCAAGGAATAACCAGGAACACTCGTGAGGAAGAGCGGGCCCCGCACGCTCACCTGGGAGCACGTACTCCCAGACACGCCCGACCATGAACGCTCTTCCTTTGACTGAGTTACATTCCTGGAAAATTCACAGTGGCCTAAACCTGTGCAGAGCCTTTGGCCTGGGCCCTCCTCATGTCCTGGAGGCTGTCTTTGCACAGGCGGGGTCCTGTGCACTGCAGCCCCGCCTCCCACCACACCGCCCAACACCCAGTCACGCGCATCATGAGCCGAGAAAACACAAGGTACAACCAGACATGGGCCAAGTCCCTGCCCTCGGGAGCTTGGGACAAAGCAATGGGGGACGATCGCTCCCCAGTGGGGCTGGTACTGGGAGGCGTCTGTTGCAGAAGTGATGGCCGCCAGTCAGCAGGTGAGCCTGGTTATCTGAAGGGTGATTAGTGCCTGGGGAAGGTTCTCAGAGCAGGGACGTGAACCACCAGGGAAAGCAGCTGGAGCCTGTGAATCCCAAGGGGCGCTAGGGGCACTAGCACTCAGACACTATGTAGAACTGCCCCGTGCAACCCCCCCACTTCAAGCCGGCTCACGAACAGCCCAGCCCTGCTTCCTATTCCCTCCCTGGGAGGCAGGGGGCTGACCAGGGCTGGCGGCTCCCACCTCTACCTTTTTGTGAAGAAGAAAATGTTCCAGATCCAGCCGCGTGGCTCTCCTGGCATCTGACCCCTCCCTAGAAGGGAGGCTGTGATTACAGTAGCCCGTCCCCCACAGCTATGCCGCCAGGCCTCCTCCCCAGCTGTGGGGAGGACGAGGGACCCACACGTCACCACGACAAGCCCGGCTGCATCTGGGAGCGTAAGTGGAGGAGGGACAAGCAGGAGGCAAATGTTAGTCAAATGTCCCCAAACACAGAAAATCACCTCAAAATTGGCAAAAGGAAACCTCACAAGTCCTCCATTCTGCCTTTGCTTGGCAGGCCGGTAGCAGGTGACCATGGCATCCCGACCACCCACCCTTGGACCAACAACAGGATCAGGGAAGCCTCCTGCCCAGGCTGGGGCTGCATGTGGGGCGGACACTTGCCAACCTCCTGCCACAGCCACCATCCCCCAGAGCCCAGGAACCCCCAACCACAGAGACCCCCAACAGTATATGCAGGGTGGGAGACCCCCACCCTTTAGGCAAGTTTCTACAATAAAGAGAACACAGCCCAGGGGGTGCCTACAGGAAGCAGGATTCGAGGTGTATAAGGAGGGGGTGTCAGATCTCACAGGTGGAAACCACTTGCCTCATAGGTGACAAAGTCGTCAAACTCATCGGGACAGGCCAGGGGCTCCTCGTCCTCGACAGGTGCGACGCCGCCATACACCTGGCCATCAGGACCTGTGGGAAGAAGACCCTGTGCTCAGCAAACCACCCAGAGCCATCCAGTGAGGTCAAGGGTGAAGGTGCATGACTGGCAGCCCCGGGAAGGAAGAATCCTGTGGGAGCTGGGGGTCCTGGGGGGTCACAGGAAGTGAGGGGTAAGGGTGAGAAATCCAGGGGAAGAATCGCTTCCTCTGTGTGAACAGTGCTTCCTGCCAAGACTCTGGGAGCTGGTGCACAGGTAGGATAAACTTTTTATTTCTTTTTTTCTGTTTGTTTGTTTTTCCCCACCTCTGAACTTTCTATTTCTTTTATTTTTTTTTTGAGACAGAGTCTCACTGTGTTGCCCGGGCTAGAGTGCCATGGCATCAGCCTAGCTCACAGCAACCTCAAACTCCTGGGCAGCTGGGACTACAGGCATGTGCCACCATGCCCAGCTAATATTTTCTATATATTTTTAGCTGTCCGATTAATTTCTTTCTATTTTTAGTAGAGATGGGGTCTCGCTCTTGCTCAGGCTGGTCTCGAACTCCTGAGCTCAAGCGATCCTCCTGCCTCGGCCCTCCCAGAGTGCTAGGATTACAGGCGTGAGCCACTGCGCCCGGCCTCTGCCCCACTGTTAATGCAACTACTTACCTAAAATATGCCAGTTACAAATCACCTATCAGTCACTCACTCAACACTTTTAATATAATCTAATCTAAACTTCTTTAAAAAGTGAGACTCTGCCAAGTCTTCTGAGGGCCAAGCAAGGCACCACTGCTGATTCCATATTGCTCTGCAGTCATGGGTGAGGCCCAGACGCCAAAACCCCTCTGGGCTTCTGTTTTAAGAATCCTAAGGACTTTGGCTGCTGTTTGCACCATCTTCCCAGAAGGTGGCTGGATCAGAGTGGCTGGGAGTGCGGAGCGTCTGAGCGTGGCCCTGCTGACCCCCCAGGCTGGACCTGCACCTGCTGCCCACCAGGCAGGCTGTGGGCGGAAGCCCCTGTCTTAGAGGTTTGGGTCTTTACTGCAGATGAACTGCAGTGGAACTATATGCTGTTACTGATGGGGGGAGATGGCCGTAGACAGAACTTTCCAGTTTCTGGAGCAAGGAAGTGCGGGAGGACCAGCGATTCCAGGGCAGTCTGAGGCTGAATGCACACTCGGTAAAAGGCTAGACTATCTCTGGCCAATTTTTCCACCACCAAATGTTAACACTTTTGCTTGCACTTCCAAAAACTGAAACACAGAACTAAGACTTTAAAAACACGACCAATCATCTCAGACACAGTGGACAAACAATTAAGAGTCTTGCCCTGCATGGCAGAGAGAGATGTGAACGCAGCTCACATTTTTATACTCCTGATAAGAACTAAATACAATGCTTTTATCAGTTTTCTCTATAAAAACTAAAACAATTTTGAATTAAGTGGAAATTTTTAATGTGGATTTATCTTTTTCTTTCAGAGCCTGAGGGAGTGTGTGAGCCAGAGTAATGCCCTATTTGTACCAACTCCCTGTCTCTCATTCTATTCCTGAAATAAGGCCTGTGGCTGTGACAGTGAAGGCTCTCCGCGCTTCCCCACGAACTGGGTCAATGCGTCACACCGTGCTGTGACTGGCTGTCCGCAGCTACGCTGGAGGTAAAATCTGAAGTTGAAGTGCAGTTTGGGTAATCATGTTTTCCTTTCTTTTAAATGCTATGAAATAATTTCACAATCATCTTTGACTTGCTTTTATCCTACTTCCATTCTCCTTTCCTCATGAAACGCAAACGATGAAGTCAAATCACCAAAGAAGAAAAGCAAAGCCCGCAGCCTGCAGCCCAGCACATCAGGGCTCACGGTGGGGCCAGCCCACTCGGGTCCCGCCACCACTTCCTCCCTCAGAGCCCACTCCAGCTCTGTGGTCACTTTGCAGTCCCACCCCTCACATTGGCTCTGAGATGGTCCTGCCGAGCTGGCTCTGAGGCTGAGGGGCCACGCCACAGGCCAGCCTCCCCAGGAGCCTGGGGCTGGGGATGGGCTCATGAGGCCTGCCTCTCCAAGACACGGCCAAGTCCTCTCATGGCATCCACAGCCCAGCTGCACCTGCACCCTCACCTCCACCTCTTGATCCTGGTCTCCCTGGAGCCCCAGATGTGCCAGGGGCAGCCCTGCCTGGACGCGGCCACCTGGGCTGGATGTACTCAGGGAGCCTCCCTAGGCCCCACCCTGCTGTCTGCAGTCTGCCTCCCACTAGGCCAGCTCCCAGGACAGGGGTTCTATGCCTCCCTTCTGTGTCATGACCCGAAGCCTGGAATGGCCACAGCACTCAGTGCACCACTGCTCCATGTGTCCACGTCCGTGGTCCTTACAGGACTCAGCTGTGCCCTCCCACGGCTGCGGCCACCTCCGTCCAGCCTGATTCAAGCTCTCATCCCTGCAGCCTCCCCACAGCCTGCCAGCCTCGGGGCCAGGCCCCTGCCAGCCTTGCCACGGCTCCACCTTTCTCTGGCCCCCAACCCCACACTGGCTACGGACTATCCTCCAGGGTCTACTCTGCATGGGGGACGCCTCCCACAATGCACCCTCAGCATAGCATCGGAGAGGTCAAGCTCAGCCCCTGAGGCTACCTCTGTTCCCAGAATGTTCTCGCCACTGAAGAAACACAGCACCACTTCCCGAGCATCCACAGTAACCCCAGGACTGCCTAGAAGATTTTTAGTTTTAATTAAATCAAAATGGAAATATTACTCAAAAAGAATGTAAAGCTGAGATTTAAAACAACCCCTGTGGGACTCAGCACGGTAGCAGTGCTGGGGTGGAGGCAGGCGCTGGCCAGGGGCCCTGCCTTAGAGGCTCCAGCAATGCAGGCTGCTCCCCAGTTCAGTTCCAGGTGCTCCTCGACAGGCGCCACGGGTGTCACAGCGCAGGCACAAGGCTGCGGTCCTCACAAGCAGGAGGAGCGCCAGGAGAAGGGAGGGCTGGGGCCGCTGGGGGGCTGGGCGGCGGTGGCAGGCAGGCACCGGGAACCAGAGCCCAGAGGCCAAGAGCAGGGCCGGCTCCCCGCAAAGGACAGCAGGGAGGGGACTCTGGGTGCCCACAGGAGACAGCCCACTCTCAGACGACCGTTTTCTCTCGCCAGAGACTGACAAGTATCTGCACACTCCTTCAGTCACTAAACAAGACACATGCGACCCACGAGGCAGCCACAGGTCAGCACTCGGCACCCCCGGCCTGCCAGCTGGAGGGTCCTCAGAGAACGGACGCATCACAGTCTGACGGGGCCTCGCCCACCCGAGGGCACTAGTTTTCTGGGAGGACCTGACTCCTGAGCCCAAGAGCAGGCACCTTCCACGTCAAGACAGCCCAGGAACCCCTAGAGACGAGCCTGCCCCGTTTCACCCTAACTCCCATCTGTCAGAACAGACCAACTACCAGCCCAATGACACGATCATGGACTCTGGACCAGAGAGGGTCCCACGCAGCCCATCTCCTGCTGGCTGCCACCGTGGGCTGCCTCTGGCCTGCGCCCAGGGACCACTGCTCCTCCCAGCCTTCCCCTTGCAGAGCAGTCTGAGTGCTGCAATTGCGCAAATCCAAGAAAAGTCCTGTCTCGACTCCCTGACAGCCACATCCACGGCGTGTGAGACCACCGGGCACCACGGCTCTAGCCTGAAGCTCCTTTGTGCCACCTTTGGTTACAAGCCCAGGGAACAGATCAACTTTTCTCCGCTGACACAGAGACTAGCACACTGTGGCCGGCCAGCCGCTGGGTGTTCTGCGTCCTGCAGCACCCAGTAAATGGGTCACCGTGACGTCTGTAACGAGACGGCAGTAGCAACAAAGAATTACCCGTTCTTGTACAGAACAGAGTCACAGCTCCGCCTCGTGCCATTCCACACGCACACATCACTCCTGCCTGTGCCAGGGAACGGCCGGTGACGCGGCTGGTGGAGACAGAGAGTCCCAGTGCTCCCACGCCACGCCTGTCTCGCCTTCCCTCCACGTGGCCGCACAGCTCCAATGAGCTCTTGAATTCTGGAATTTCCTACTGACAGCCTGTCACATATGTGTAGAATTTAGCACACCTGCCCCATTTTCCCACCCCCATCTCCCAAAATGGTCACCGTCTTTGGTTACATGAATATTCAATGTAATTGCTATGACTATGCAAAATACTGTCCATCACTGGGTCAGGAAGTATTTTAGAAGTACTTCCCTTCTTACTCCATTTCCTGCTTTTCCTGGAAATGGTAACAGGTGTCTCCTGCTTGGCCTCTGGAACCCATCATCCTTCCAGCCCCAAACTCTCGGGCAGAGCTGGGAGAGGTCCCCAATGACCAGCTGGTTCTGGGGGTCCCCAGGAGCCATGGCTATCAGCCTAGAATAGCCGTCCCCAACCTTTCTGGCACCAGCAGCTGGTTTTAAGGAAGACAGTTTTTCCACAGTGTGGTAGGGGTGGGGGGCTCAGGCGCTGACCTGAGAGATGGAGAGTAACTGCAAATAAATACACTCTCGCACCTGCTGCTCCCCTTCCGCTGTGGGCCACACACCCCCCCCAACACATTTCTAAGTTTCATGGAAGACAACCTTTCCACGGATGGTGGTGTGGAGCTCTGCAGCCCAGGGGTCGGGGACTGCAGGCCTAGAAGCCCACATCCAGCCAATCTGTCACTTAAGAGTGAAGACAGGCCAGGCATGGTGGTCCCACCTGTAGTCCCAGCTGCTCGAGAGGCTGAGGCAAGAGGATCGCTTGAGCCCGGGAGTTTGAGGTTCGCAGTGAGCTATGATTGCACCACTGCACTCCAGCAACAGAGTGAGACTCTGTCTCAGAAAAAGAGAAGTTACCTAAACCTTCATCCTTTTGCACAAAGGTTTCTGTAACAGCTCTGTGAGAATTCTGGCTCCTCAGCATCCAGTGCCCTTGGTACCTGCTGAGCAGATTACAGCAGGTGCTCACTCCAGGCCTTCAGACAGTCTGGTTCTCCTCACATCACTTCCTTGGGCCATGGCAGCGGTTCCCCTGACCCCCAGGGACAGCTTGGTCCTCTTGCAGCTTCCATTGGTTAACTCTGGGGAAATTCTAGGTATAGGCTTTTTTCTCTTAGTTTTAAAAATCCATTATGATTTCTCCTTTGGTTCACCAATTATTTAAAGGCTATCTTAATTTCTAAACGTATTCTAAAATCTAGCCATTAATTTCAAGCCTAGCTGTGTGCATAATTGAGAATACAATCTTCACAACATCGATTCTTCGATGTTCATCGAGTTTGCTTCATGGTCTGACAGCTGGTCAGGGTTTTTTTGAGACAGAGTCTCCCTTTGTTGCCAAGGCGAGTGCCGTGACATCATCGTAGCTCACAGCAACCTCGAACACCTAGGTTCAAGCGATCCTCCTGCCTCAGCCTCCTGAGTAGCTGGGACTACAGGTGCTTGCCATCACGCCTGGCTAATTTTTTGTTTCAATTTTTAATTGCCTGGCTAATTTTTTCTATTTTTAGCTGGTCAGTTTTTATACATGTGATGTGCAGGCTTGAAAGAATGTTTCTTCTCTGTCGATGCACAGTTCAAGTGTGTGCTAGCTAGAGACTCACCCATGTCTGCTACCAAGTGGTTGCAGAGAGGAGAGAGGCCCCTAATGAAGGTGGTGTGAGCTTTTGTTTTGTATGGATTTATTTTGTCCTCACTTTTTTTTTTTGGAGACTGGGTCTCCCTCTGTTGCCCAGGCTGGAGTGCAATGGCATGATCATAGCTCACTTCAACCTCAAACTTCTGTGGCCTAGATGACATTTAAAATCCCATATCTACTCTCAAAAAGTTACTTAAGGGTTACAACTTATCACTTGGACTCACAGAGACAGAGCTATGCCAGCCCCAACTTGCTGTCCCAGCCTGGAGGCTCAGGTTGGCTGATCATCCTCTTCTTCACCTAACACCAGGTGGAGCTGCTCACCTCCCACCCCTGGCCAATAACCTCCTCAAGGGTCACCAGCCACCCACTCTCTCTGCCCCTGTGCAGGTCTCACGCCCCTGGGAGGTCGTCCATATCCCCCTCAGCCTCCAGGGCCTGCAGTGTGTCTCTCCACTCTTGTCCTGGGAGCCCCGCCCCCACCTCCAGCTTGTCACACAGGCTAGCTCTCCCCACCTCAGGACGGCTCCCTCACCTGAGCCAGGTATCCTTCACCTAACAATCATGCTTTCCTTTCTCCTCCCACCCCTCCGCAAAGAGGGCTGCCTGCCTAGAGCTGGCCTGTGCAGCTCTCATCTCGGCCCCTACCTGCCGCACAGACAACAGCGGCACCTCACCCATCTGTCCTCTCGCCACTGCCCACTGGCCTCTCTCCGATGCTGGTTCACCAGAGTCCCCAAGGCTGAGATCGGTGCCAGGGCCATGCTGGTCCCACGGCATGTTTGTGGGTGAAAGAACAGCAGTAAACCAAGGGTAATAATAGGTGACAACACATAGAACGTTGCCCAGAGCCATCTGAGGACAGGTATTTTAGGAAACCCAGCACCTAAGTGACACTGTTGGGCAATAATTTTGGGGAGGGGAGAGATAAGGCCGCTGCACAGGAGAGCTCAGGTCCAAGGGCATCCCTCCACCTGACCACACCCCTGCAGGTCCCAGCTGGGGTCCTGTTCACCTATAAGTGCAGGAAGGAGGGAGGGGGCTGACACCGCCCCCCACAACACCTGGCCTAAGAAGGGAAGGCCCATTCAGAGCTTCAGAATTTGACTGAAGGAAGGCAGTGTAGGGTGAGTGCTAAGAGTGTAAAATGGCATGGCCACATTGAGGAACAGTGGTGGTTTTAAGAAACTAAGTTTACACCCCCGTACATGACCAGCAGTCCCACTCTGAGACAAGGGCCCGAAGGACGTTTTCACATGCGTCCACACAAAGACTTACACTTTTTCTTAGAAGCTTTATCCATAATAGGCCCAAACAGGTGTCCATCACCAGGAGAGTGGATAAATAAAATACGGCACAAGCACACAGCAGAACACCACTCCACATCAGAAAAAGCAGATCACTGATGTGTGCAAACCACAGGGATAAATCTCAAGGACATCACGTTGGGAGCACATACTGATCATTTTATTTACGTGAAGTTCAAGAGAGGTGACAGATATCAGAAAGAAGGTGCCAACAAGGCCGGGCGCGGTGGCTCACGCCTGTAATCCTAGCACTCTGGGAGGCCGAGGCGGG